CAAGTTATCTACCGGGTCTTACACTCTGAAGGCTTGAACATCACACTTGTGACAGAGCGCCTCCTTTGGCTAGTTTTCAGCACCACCACCCCTTTGCTTTTTGTTGTTGTTGTTGTTGTTGTTGCTTTGGCCTGGCAAAGGATGTCGCCATAAGATGGAAGCTACTTTCTTTCTTGTGGTGGATCTACCCTGGGCTGTCCTCCCTTGGTACCCTTGGCCTGACCCTGTGATTGACTACCTCACTGTCATGGCCAGGGTTCCACCTGCAAGAGATGGATGCCCGGGGGAGGGAGGGGAGCTTTTAGCTTTAATGATGGCTGTGAACCATCACCATGCTTCCCTGGTCCAGGAAGGCTGTCAGGGACAATTTCCCGGGTCAGGGGTTATTTCTATAATTATGCATTGATGATGCGGTTATGCACTGACTAGGCTTGTGGTGTTTAAAAAATGGATAGTGTGAATATTTAAGCCCTTTAAGAGAGCACTCAGTGCAATCAAATATATATGTGTGTATATATATATATACATATATATCTCACATAATATAATACATCTCATCTCTCAGTCTGTTTCTTGCTCCTGAATGTTTCCTAATGTGTTAAAAACTCTACAGCCCAGGCAAATTTGTGAGCTTTGTAACAGGCTGAGCTGTGTTTCCAAAGCCTATGCTTCTTCCTAGCCTCCACTGCTTGAGTTCCAAGGGCTAGCATGATTGGGCTCCTGTGTGGTCCCTTGCCTAGGGTAATAGCCTCCCCCTTGTGCCTGTGATGGACAGCAAGCTCTTCATCCCCTTCTGAGGGCATCAGCCCCGTTGCAGAGGCTCCGTCTAACACCTGTCAAAGGCTTCACCTGCTGCCACAACCCCGGTGAAGATTAGGTATAGACCTCATCGTATGGACTGAGGGGACGAAGGGGCAGACATCCAGTCCATAGCAGGTGTCTTCTGAACGTGCTCCAACAGACAGGGCAACAACAGCTACCCGAGATCACAGGGTTAGCCAATGAGGACTCCTGGCAAAAACCACTGTGTTGGGGTGGGTGGGGTACAGGGGTTCGCAGTGCTACCCAAGGAAAACCCCACATCAAACCCCATTCCACTCTCCTTCCACAGCAATTCCTGCTCTAGGCTGCTGTATCAGACATTGTTACGGTGAGAGCTGAGTGGCCTGTCTGTTCCCTCCCTTCCTACTCCCATTCTCTTTTCCTCTTCTCCTTCAGCCAGACATTCCTCTGGATTAGCATAAGGAGTGGGTCCAGAGCAGGTAGGCAGGCTGGGGGAAGGGTAATTGGAGGTGTGTAAGGGTGAATCTTGATTGTGAACGTGTTTGAATTAAGTCCAGTTCCAGGCAATCTAGCGCCTGTTATTCTGGAGGATGCTCCTGCATGCAAGTGGTACCCATATAATAGCAACTGACCCAGGTTGGAGCAGACACGTGAACCAGTTGGCGTGACCACACTGATTAGGCTTACATCATGTTGTGTTGTTAGTACTGCATCTGGTCTTACCAAATCACCACAAACTGTATGGGTCCATCTCTCTCACGTGGAGCTAGGGTGGTAAGGGAGCTACAGACGGCACCAGTGGGCAACGCAAGGCCTGTGCACAAGAGCAAAACGTCATCCTGACTTTGGAACTGATGAGAAATCCCTATATCTGTGGCCCCTCCCTCAGTTCCTTGTTAGTCTTTCCTCAGAAAGAAGCGTGGTGTGACATAGAAGCCGCTAGATGCTGGCACATAACCTGCAGACCACGTAGACAGTAAACAACTCCCTAATGCTCGGTGCAGCATCCTCTGTAGGGCCCATCTGGTTCAAAATGGCCCTTATTCTGCTTACAGTGCAGAATGCTTGCCTGACTGGAATGTGTCCTAGTTTTCTAGTCTGCAGACGCCGGGTTGTAGGCCTCTGCTGCCACCTGCTGGCAAGCACAAGTACTGAGTGGAACCTGCTGGATATTTTCAGTTGGAAGATGGATAGTGTCAGTGGTTAGTGTACATCACACATTCACAGTCCTGCAGGAACTCAGTAAACACTGAGTGTCTGGGCTCACTGACAATCCCACAAAACACAAATCTATTTTTTCTTTTAATTTTTTATTTTGTTGCTGTTTTGTTTTGTTTTTTTGAGATAAAGTTTCACTATAGCTTTGGAGCCTGTCCTGGAGCTTGCTTTGTTTACCAGGCTGGCCTTGAACACACAGAGATCTATCTGCCTGTCTCTCCCCCCCCCACCCCCGGTGCTGGGATTAAAGGCATGTGCCACCACTGCCCTGCTCCAAATCCATTTATTAACCAAGTTCCCTAGTAAGTCACATGCAGAGAACAGTGAGGACCACCTCACCGGAACATCAGAGGCCAGAGTCCACTGAAGGTTTATAAGCAACTCCACCACCTCCTGCTGACCCCAAGAACAAGTAACCAGGTGACATCTTGTTTGAGATACCCAGTCTCCCCAGTTTATTTTGGGAACTCTGAAGGCAAAGATCAAAGCTTTATCCTCTTGGAACTCAACAGAAGTTTTTATACTGGTGCTGGCGATATGGCTCAGTGGTTATGAGTATTTTCTGCTCTTGGACAGGACCAAAATTCAGTTCCCAGAACCCATGTTGGGCACCTCAAAGCCTGTAAAACCCCAGCTTCAACACATCCAACGCCCTCTTCTGTCCTCTACACATACATGCGCGCATGCACACACACACAGGCACACACATAAACATACACACATGCATGCACGCACACACGAATAAATATACAAAATGTATAAAAATACAAGTTTAACAAAAAACCTACAGTAAAGAAACTTGACAAAACAGTCTTTCACCAATTGTTTCGGGTTAGCTGCCCCAGTAATCCACCCTGTTGGTGCCATATGGGACCAAGAGTACACCGGTGGCTTTTTTCTTCTCTGTTGGAACTTCAGTCTAATCAAGAGGCCAACCACCAAGCAAACCCAGCTGAGGAATTTCTGTTGGACTTCTTGCCAGTGACTAAGAGACACCCACAAACAAAGCATCTACGTGGACTGTAATCTCTTGGATTGCACCATGGAACAAAAGCTTAGAAAAACTGACAAAAGCCAAATGAGGTCTGGAATTGAGGTCTTGGTAATATGTTGATGGTTGTTTCTTAGTATTGACAAATTCCCTTAATAATATATATTTCAATAAAAAACGTAATATTTATATATTCCAATAAAAAACTTAAAAGTAATTTTTATGTTTGGGGAGTGTGGGGCCAGGGCACTGAATGAGACCAAATGAGTTGGACGACAGTGGCAAGGGGCACAGGATAGTGGTTCCCTGTCCAGCTGCCACAAGTCCAAGTCAAAACCAAGCACACTCTTCCAAAGAGGGTATCCTGGCTGCAGACTGGACAGGGCAAATCTGTGCTCTCAGGGACGGGGTGCTGCCATTCCCTGAAGATTCCCTGGGAACCAGTCATGGGCACACGAACCTCAGTGTGTGTGTGTGTTGCAGGGCTGGGCCAGCTCTCACAGGTACATGTAGAGTCTGAGGTCCTGATAGAGTCGTAGTGAGCCCACACCTGGTGAACTGTACATGTGGGATTCCCCTCTGTATGCTGTGAATATGTTTTATTACCATTGGTTAATAAAGAAGCTGCTTTGGGGGCTGGAGGGGTGGCTCAGAGGTTAAGAGCACAGCCTGCTCTTCCAAAGATCCTGAGTTCAATTCCCAGCAACCATATGGTGGCTCACAACCATCTGTAAAGAGATCTGGTGCCCTCTTCTGGCCTGCAGGCATACATGTAGACAGAATGTTGTATACATAATAAATAAATAAATAAATAAATAGTCACTCCAAACCCTTCTGTCTCAATGCTTCACCTGTGAAATAGATAAGAAAATTCTATCTAGAAAGATAAATGGGACCAAGACCTCCCAGAACAATGTGGGAGACACTCAGAAGTGGAATGTAAGGATGAAGCCATTTAGATTGATCTTCATGAATTTCTTTGTGGATGGCATGGGCAAAAACGGACAGGTGTATTAGAAATCAATCCAGAAATAAGAAGTGGGAGAAAAGGAGGCAGGGTAAGCTGGAAGGAAGGGGAGGGGGAAAGGCGAAGACTCCCAGGCAGCCCAGAGTCTTTAAAGGAAAGACATGACTGGAAAGACCTGAAGATGAAGAAATTGGAATATTTGAAGCTTTGTAAAATAAGCAAGGAAGCCACATGCCCTTGTGGAAGGAATGAGTGGGGTAGTCTGTGTTCCGGAGCTCTTCTGGATTTCTGCCTATGAGTCTGGTTCCACGTGTTCCATTCATAAAAGCTGATAGGGTAATAGACTCCCAAGAGAAGAATGGTAATACCTAGGAGCGCCTGTAGCCGACTTAGACCATAGGACTCTTTCTGAGAAGCAGTGTACCTGACTTTGTACCCCTGACAGGATCATTTACTCAGTGGTTTCCTGACTTCTTGATCCCAAGTCACCCCTGTCCAATAAATGGCCTCAGCATCAACCAACTGGAGGGAAGAGGACAGCGGGGCTACGTTGCTTTCTGTCTCAAAGCTTCCCATGCTGAGATCTCAGGTGCCAATTGAGGTTGGGGCTTGGCTGGCGTGATTGATTGGCAAGATGGACATGTCAGTGTTTTTCTCTCAAGTCATGGCTGTTACCCTTCTTTCAAGCTGTCATGAAACTTCCACATTATGAAAGTCATGTGATTTTAGGTGAAGTCCCAGATATTTTGAAAGAGAGATCATATCATAACTATTGGTCCTGAAAGTAAAGTTGCTCCTAAGTGCCTACCCCCATTCAAAGATCATCTTTTGAAATTAGTAGACCTGGGGTTTCTTCCAGACGTTTCTGATCCTTTCAAGTAAATGAGTTAGTGGCTGTCTTCTCAGGAGCCTTTGCAAATCTAATAAAGTAACATTCTTGAAAGAGCATAGGGGGCCTACGCCGCTGCCCTGGTTCCTTGACAGACATGCCACAGCATGCTAGTGATTTGTTTAGAGTTTTTCTTTATATTCCTTCTTCAGCTCTCTCATCTAAGGGAAGGATATGATCGCGCCCTGTGATGTCACTGTCGTATGCTTCAAGTGACGGGAGTGCTTATTGGCTCCTCTGCAGATCTGCGAACGCCAGCAAGTTAAACAGCCCTGTGGCCACTCGTGGTGAAGAGCAGGGAAAGTGGCCATCAACACATAGCCATAAAATGTAGAGATTACTGTATTATACGGAAGGGTAGAAAACTGAAAATTTTCCATCAAAAACCACAAGTCAATAAATCGTATGATCTCAGTACTGGAGCCGTCATGGAGCTAAGTCATCTTAAATAGGAAATGGTTCCCCAGGCCCTCCGAAGCGTGTTCGCCGTTTCATTGTGTGAGATTGGGGTCTGACGTCCATTTGCAGGGACATGGGGGTGAGTCTCATGAATACTAATAGTCATTGCCTGGCTCTTCAGAGCAGGGCCATTTCACCCACCCAGGCCTGTCAATGTTCCATGTGTGATTATTTAACTAAACAGAGGAAAAGTCCATGCTGGACCCTCGGGCTTTCCCAACAAGCCCAAAGGCTCCTCTGTGTTACAAAGATGTGCTGCCCCATGAAGTTCGTTAATGACTTTTCGCTGTTCATTTCTTAGCTAACAACTCCACACGTGTGCAAATCACTGCTGAAAGTATCTACAAACGTAACCCGACTCGTTCTTTAAGGAGTTCCTGGTGTTGGGATTTCATTTTCAGTATGTATTATGGAGTTAGTTCAAACACAGACATTTAATAGGCTGCCTGGTGTGAGGGATGTAACAGGCGTTCCCTACATACTACTTAGCGACAGATATGCACTGTCCCCTACAGTCCTCTTAACAATCTCACAGGGCAGTGCGAGGGGGGGGGGGCTCTCACCATTCCAGGTCATGAACTAGGAGACCAAGACCAACATGAGGGAAACCACTCACTCAAAGATGCATAGCTATGTACCACCAGTTCTCAGTCTTCCTCATGCCGCCTCATGCCGCCGCCTCTTAATATAGTCCCTCGTGCTGTGTGACCCCCCCAACCATAAAATTGTTTCATAATTGTAATTGTGTGACTATTATAAATCATAATGTAAATATCTGATGTGCAGGATTTCTGATATCGGACCCCTGTGAAAGAGTCATTTGACCCCAAAGGGGTCACAACCCACAGTTGAGAGTTATGGCTATAAAGGAAGGAGAAGGGATCTTGTAAGGTCATTGCACTCCAGAGCACTGGAAGGCAAACAGCCCCCTTGTTCAGCAGCCCCTCTCCTGTAGAAACCACCCACAGCCTGTTTAATGAAGCATCTTGTATGGGGCGCGTCCATGAGCCCAAGACAGACTGAAGAAGCCATCTCCTGATTCTCTACCAGCCTGTTCCCGTTATGAAACTGGCGACATCTTCCACCCATCTGAAGCTGGTCCAGATCCTGTGCTGTATCCCTAAGCAACTTAAGCAAATGTCAGAAACATGAGAATAAGGCTCTTGAGACCCTTGGACCCTTTGGGTTCCAGAAGAGAGAATAGCAGTAGGAATAGCAGATGGGAGTCACAGAAATATGTTTAAAGATCAGTGCAGAGAAAGGAGCTGGATGGCAGAGTAGACAGGGCCGTGTTCCTGGCTTCATGCTGACCCAGAGTGCACACACAGCAAGCAGCAGGTGACTGATGACCGATGACTGACTTCAAGTTTCTCTCAGAATATCAGATTTATTTACACTTAAAAATAAAGCAGGGCTAGACGGTGGTGGCGCATGCCTTTAATCCCAGCACTGAGGAGGTAGAGACAGACAGATCTCTGTGAGTTCGAGGCCAGCCTGGTCTACAGAGTGAGTGCCAGAACAGTCTCCAAAGCTACACAGAGAAACTCTGTGTCAGAGAAAAAAAAATTGAGTGGCATCGTGTTTGGGTCCTGGATTAAGCCATTCAAATAGCAGGGTAGCTTTGTTATTATCAGAAACTGAGTTTGAAGAATTTTTTTTTAAATACCCAGAATGTGAAACCTGAATTAATGCTACCATGCTAATGGAGATGGTGACGCTGTGACCATCTTTTAGAACTGGACTGCTCTGCTTTGTGTTGAAATGTAAGAAAATGGGAGGTGGGATTTTAGGCCCAGACCTTTGATATTAGCTGAGCCTTCTTACACTGCTCTTTCCCGGTTTTCTGTGTTCAAGTCTCAGTGAGTCCCACATAGCCACGAAGAGAAGCACTGGGTGTGGGTGGAACGGTCAGGTGTGGCAAGGAGGTACGGTGTCTAACTTGTTCCCTGATTCAGAAGTGATGGCAGTTGGGAAGGTTATAAGAGGCCAGAGAACCTTGGCTCAAGTACAGCTCCTTTCTCTACCGGCCAGGTGGCCTGAGATGTCTTTGCTGACACTCTCTGTCCTTAGCCCACCTGTGGGACTAGTTTGGGAACAGAAGCTAAGTGAAATCGGAGCCCTTGAGAGAGCTCTATAAATGGGGTGACTTTCATGTCTCTAAGGATGTAGGGATGTGAGTCCTCTCCTCGGTGAGTAGCATTTCTTCTGTTGTCTAAGCCTCAGTTTTCCTTGGATGCTCTGCAAATGGGGAGAGAGAGAGAGAGAGAGAGAGAGAGAGAGAGAGAGAGAGAGAACACATACACACAGCCTACTTAGACTGAGCGCTGGACCTGAGGAACTCTCACTGTCTGCCCCCTAAGTCTTTGCCTCTCCTTCCGTCATGAAACAATTAGTCTTCCCAAAGGCAACTGAGAATCATCTGTCACGGAAACACAGCAGAGGACACTGGCTTTCTCTGAGAGTCTGAGGACACTGTCCACTCCCATTGGTTTGTGTCCTGTGGCAACCTCGCCACGTTGAACTGCTCCTGATTCTAATCAGAGTCCTTGCCCATCTGCAGCAGGCTGTCAAGTGCTGGCCTGCGTTCATAAGGGCAGTTAGAATTCTCTCGTTAAAAGCAGCCACAAACAACGAAGTCGGATTTGGATCTGACTTCATGAAACAATTTTAAGCAATAAACTTGTGTTGATTTGATTCATGTACTTGGCATTTCAAAAATTCACTATTTTGAACAAAGACAAATTCCTTTATAAAAACAGCAAAAACTGTATCCTGTCAGACTTTGAATTTTGGAAATTCATAAAATGTTTATGGTGAAAGTTTTTTAGTGTTTTTATTCACTGTCGTCTTTAATCTAGGTTAAGATGGTGACATGCGTTTTGCCGTACTAAAAGGCCATAAAGTAAAGGTTCATCATCAGTGATGAACATGGGCACAAGACTTTCTCTGTTCACTTTTGAGTGTTCCAGTCAAGAAGGGATACACGGGCTTAAGAGGTCATCACCCCAGGATCTCAACAAGAGAGGACTAGTTAGAAGTAAGCATCAGGGTCCCAGTAACAACACATAAACAAAGTCACACAAGAGTTCCTGACTAGCTTTGGTGGACTTCTCATGGACAGCTAAAATTCCAGTTGGTTTCAGAAATCAGTTCTCCCTGGTCTCTCTGCCAGGTCACTATAGTTGTGACGTTTATACACCTTGTCAATGCGAACAACCATGAAAGGAGCCATTCGTAGAGCTCGAGCATGAAAGATCGCATGCCCACTCGCTGTCCTTCAGAGGATGTAATTGTCCTTCTCATCCTCTCATGTGGCCAGTGAGTTCAAAGCCTTTGTTCCCCCAGTCAGCCACAGCAGCCCTGGGTGATCTGTGATGGGTGATGTCTGGTCCTGACAGATGCCTTTGGAAGTGATAAGTGCAGTTAATCCCGTATTTATTTGACCACAGCTATGTATTTGGGACTGATTCAGGTCATGAGGAGTGAGAAGTGTCATAGGTGTCCCCTACCACCTCTGAGCTTCTATCCCTAGTAGGAGGGAGCAGAGATACACACAGATGGCACCTCTCTCGGGCAGAACATGGCAGCTATTGGATAGGGACAATTAGCAGAGAAAGTCTGAAGGCTAAAGAGTTTGTCCTGGGGGAAGACTTCAGGGCTGGTCAGGTGTTGACAAAGGCAATAAGACTTTTGGTTGCTATAGGTGATGAGAAAAAGATTCATTGCCAGTAAGCAGGCCTTGCAGATCTAGGAGTGAAAAGATATGACATTTTGGTGCCATCTTCTTACCTGTATCCAGAAGAGGGTATGAAGTTTCTTCCTGAGGTTTAAGATCAAACTACTGATATGGGATGTCCTTCTGCAAGCTGCGAATTTGTGTTGCTTTCATTGGTTGATGAATAAAGCTGCTTTGGCCAATGGCAGGGTGGAATATAGCTAGGTGGGAAAGCCAAACTGAATAGAGGGAGAAAGAAGGCGAGGTTGAGAGATGGCAGCAGCTACTGGAGGAACAAGATGCCAGAGCATTACCGGCAATTCACGGGGCGCATGGCGATACACAGATTGTTAGAAATGGGTTAATGTTTATGTAGAGCTAGCCAGTGAGAAACCTGAGCCATTGATCAAACAGTTTGTAATTAATATTAAGCTTCTGAGTGGTTATTCGGGAACTGGAAGGAGGGAGAGAAATCTCCAGTTACAGGCTATATATTTCTCCTTCAAAGAATACCTCCGTGTGCTAACTGAAGTTCTTATACTCTCACAGCCTATATTTGGAATATGTCTACAGAACTGAGGAACCTCCCTCTCAGTCATGTGACCTTTGCATATGATGCTCATGTTTTTGCCTGTCAGCTGGCGCAGTGTGTGTTGGGTGGGGCTGGGGCGAGTTGACTGAGAAGGACATTAAAAAAAAAATCAAGGCAGAACACGAATCCCTTGAGATATGACATCACCACCATGGGTCAGTCAGCTCTGCTCCTGTTCTCCCTTGTGTACGCTGCCCTTCTCCTCTGGGAAGGTGGGACTCATGTGTCTCAGTCAAGTGTGCTTCTGATACCCAGGCTGGGAAGACGGGCACATTAGAGGAAGGAAGGAGAGGCCCCAGGGCTAAGCAGGAGAAGTCAACCAGCATAATCAGCAGTGGGCTATGGAGGAGTTAGTTGAGTTGGGCATAAAAAATGAAAGCAGCCCTTGAGACATATAGAAGGTTAAGTGATGAAAATTATGGAACATGGCAGAAGAAAAAAGTCAAAGTGGGCTGAGTGTCAAGAAGCTGAGTATGAATTAAGCCCATGGGCTGAACCATACTAAAGATTATTTGCTCTCTGTTGAAATTACTATTGACAGCTGAAGTTAAAATATGTTTGCCATGTGCCTTTTTAGTGTTGAAATAAGGATGACACCAAGCATCTGGTTTTCTCCTCTTGGAACCCTAGGGTACACACTCCCTTGTAAATGTCAGCACGATGGATAGGCAGTGTGTGATTTCCCTTTCCGCTTCCTCGCTACAGGAAATACCAGAAATGGCCCAACGCCCTATGGGTTCCGACTCACGCCAGAGGAAGAAATGAGGAGGCAGCGCCTTCACAGATTTGATGGCCAATGACGTGGCGCCGCGCCTGGGAAGACGTTCTCCAGCTGTGTGGTTGCAGCCCGTTCTGTCTACTCCCCAAGCCCCTAACTGGTCGTAAACAAAAGCAGAGCACACCGTTATTGTTGCGGGTCACTCATATCTGCCACGAGCTGTCACTCCATGGCCCCCATACGTCCAGATTCCCCAGCCAGGCTGACATCAGGAAACCAGTGCACAGCTTTCCCTGAGTGACCTATCTAGCCCTGTGTTCTCTCCTAAGCCAAAGGTCACCTCTTCAGCTGGGACCAATTTCCACACACTCCCCACCTTCCCACCCAACCCGGTTGCACATTTACACTGGGGTTGAAGACTGTGTCCTTTATAGAAAGTATTTGCTCACCAGGTGAGAGGATCAGTTCTCACTCTGCCTGGGTGTCCTACTTGGCAGGAGGTGCAGTGCCACCACCGCTGGTCCTCCTGGCATACTTCCATGATGCAGGAAGAGGATGCGGCTGCCTTCCTAGGGTGTTCCATCCGCTTTCATGCAGGCCGCTCGGGGCGCTGTGTCTGCTTGCTGTTCACAACCCCTGCTTTGCTCTGTGTGTAGAATATCTGACTGGAGGGGAATAAGGAGACCTAAGGTGGAGAAAACACCCACTCACTCATCAGGTAGCAAGGGGCACCAGCAATTTGGGTTCACGGGCACCCCTCCAGGAGCAGGAGACTTGTGGAACTACTCCACAGAACAGCGGCACTCGCCACACGCACAGAGCCAAGCGGAGATGTACAGTGGATTTCTCACTGGGTATCCCATTTGCTGGGAGTATTTCTTTCTTCACCAAAGTGCCTTTTCATTGGTCACTGTTGTGGCTGGTGTCTGTCATAAACAGGCATCCAAAAGAAAAAAAAATGCCCCAGAGAACTTCAGTGTTTAGAAAACTGATTGTCCGAGTCATGTAAGGCATTTGTGTGCTTGTGTTCTGAGAATGAAAGGACAAAGCCAGAATTATCGCTACTACCTGACCGTCGTGGAGCCTTTAGTTCAAAGGGAGTTAGGAGCAACAAATGATGCTCCTATTTTAACTCACCATTCATTCATGTACAGTCTGTAGGCAGGCTTCCTTACACACAGTGCAAGCATCTACAAAAACATTCTATCAATGCAGATTAGCTTTGGAGGGGGAGTGCATGGGACCTGACTTTGTTTACAGTTTTGTATTCTGTTTTTAAAAGTGTGTGTGTGTTGCTTTCAGAAGATTAATTCATAAAATAAATCAAGAAACTTGTAACCAGTAAAACTGACTTTCAACTAAGTACTATATATCCATTAAGGAAATTCACAGGCTGGGCATAGTGGCACACACCTTTAATCCTAGCACTCAGGAGTCAGGGACAGGATGATCTCTGAGTTCAAAGCCAACCTGATCGACATATGAAGTTCTGCGCCAGCCAGAATACACACAAGCACACATACACATGCACGCACACATGTACGCACACACAGCAGAAACCCTGTCTCAGAGAAAGAGGGAGGAATTGAGGGGAGCAGGAGGGAAGGAGGAGCAGATGATGAAGGAAAAAAAGAAAGAAATTCACAGTATGTAAATAAAACTCCAAATGCTCAGCTCTAAGATGAGCTGGTGCCCGGGGTTGACATTTTGAGGCGATTAACGTCTCGGTTTTCTGTTGTGTGCATTTGACACATCTGGTGCATGCCAACTGTGCAACTCCGTGTCTGCTTGCTCATATGAACCCACCTGGATACACTTGACACTTGCATACAAATGAGCTAAGCAAATCCCTGAAGTCTGAAAGCATTTGGACAGGCCATCCAGTCAGTGGTGCCTGAGCACCTTGGTTTAATTTGTAATTGGTGTAAAGCCACAGTAGTTGATGTTATGAATTATGCCCATGAGCCTGGTATCTTTAAGTGCATTTAAATTGGAATGGTCGGGGCTGGAGAGACGGCTCAGCTGTTAAGAGCACTGGCTGCTCTTCCAGAAGACCTGGGTTCAATTCCCACACTCACATGGCAGCTCACAACTGCCTGTAACTCCAGTACCTTCCCATACCTTCCCTGTCTCCTTTACTCCACACTTGAAGGCTAACTAAATGTTATTTTCCCACCACAGTTCACTTTGAATTGTATTAGAACTCTGCTATCTTGTATATGGAAATATTTTATTATTTTTTACATACCTTGAGTGTAATGATAGTACCTGCTTTCTTTGGCCATTGGAATCCTGATTTTGGATGGTATGGTTATGCGGGTTTTTTTTTCTTTATTTGTGAAGTGGAATGTCACCAAAAGTTTATAACAGTTGTGAGAAAGGTCATTTTAGTTCTAAGTGAAAATCAGATATTTTTCAGAATAAAGATGTTTTGGAAAATATGGTAGTTATGTTACTCAAGTAATGGGCTTGCCCATGCCTATTGTTTTCTGTGTCTGGAATTTTTTCCTTTTTTTGTTTGTTGTTACAGTTTTGTTTGTTTTTGCCCCATTTGCAATAAGGGATGCTTAAAGTTATGTCACAAACTGGAAGTGAACTAAGAAAGAGTAGAGATGCTGATTACCCCTCTTAACAGGGAGGTAATTAGCACCAAAAGCCGATTTTTAAATTTGGTTTCTTTATTAATAATCTTCCGATTGATTGCCTCTTATGTTCCCAGGGTATCCAGTTCCCAAAGCTTGGTGTAGGCAGTCAGCTTAACAGACTTCTTCATTCAGAATATTTCCCTGGTTCTCACGAGGAAGGACTAGTTAAATTTGCTTCCTCTTGAGGACTTACAGAGTGTTGCCCATGATTTGCAATGTTGCCTGTAAGAATGCCTGCTGGTGAGGCTGGAGCTAAGCAGTCAAATAACTGCACTCAGTGGCATTGGCCAGGGGAGCTGGCAACAAGAATGACCAGAGGTGACCCTGCCACAGAGTGGACCTCTGTTGGAAGTCCGTGTTCAGGAAAGAAGTGTATTCCGTTACTCCTAAGTGTATTGTTTCTTCTACCCATTCCTTTGGATAACTGCAGCAATTTTCTAACCTAATTCACACTCCCCCACTCCCACTTTTTTTTTTACTCAATCAGTATTTTAGAATACTGAGAGCAAGCTCTCAGCTCTGAAGAACCTTGAAGCCTCTCGATTCATTGCTTTGCTCACTACTTAAAATATGCCTTCACTCAACTCCACATACCGATGCCAGTTGGGCTTCCAAAACCCATTTTAGCCGTACCACTCCTCGTCTCAAATATCTTTTATTGTTTGTCTGTGGACACATGGTAAAGGTCAGAGCCATTAACCTCCACAACTGGGCTCCCTGCAGCTTTGGACCTCGGCCCATGTGTTCCTAACAGTCCGCTCACTGGTCTTCCCATCCAGGCTGCGAATGCTTCTCACACTGGGATCTCTTCAGTACTGGATAAGGATTGGCATCTCCTCTCCCGCAGCCCGTTCTGTCCTCCACATCCTGTCCCCTAGTTGAGGCCTTTGCTAGAGACCAGAGCTCATGTCACAGACAGACTTGCTGGTTTTATTTAGCCTGCATCTCTTGATAGCCACACGCTAGTCGGCAATGCAGATTGTGCCGTGAGAGTATTATCTTCCATCCCAGGGCAGGACCTGGGAGAACATAGTCACGTTTCTCTTCTCCCTCCTCTCTGTGCCTTCAGCAGTATTTTGAAATGTTGGAGCCAACAGATACTTGAGGAATGAAGTGGAAAGATGTTCGTTCCTATAATGACAGGTGGTAAACCAAAGTGCTTCTCAAACTCCTGTGTGTGTGTGTGCGCACAGGTGCCCAGAGAAGCCAGAAGAGGGTATTGGGTCCCCTGAGACTGTGAGCTGCCCGATGTGGGTGCCGTAAACAAATTCCAGTTTTCTGAATGAGCAGCCACTAGCCTTAACCACCAAGCCATTTCTCTAGGCCCTAGTACCCTGATACTTTTTGACACGAGTTTTCTTTAGACACTGATGGGGTAGCCTGTCTAGCCAGAGAGTTCAGGGATCCACCTGACCCCACCGTTCTCTGTGCTAGGTCTTTATGGACAGTACCTCTCCAAGCCTGATTGTCCATAAGTGTTGGGTATGGGACAAGGCCGGTTCAGGCACCCTCTCCTTGGACCTGGGAACCCTTCTAGAGTCAAGTCTCTTGCAAACCCTAAAATGGCTCCCTTAATTAAAATATTTACTTCCCTGCTCCCATATCCACCCTTCCTCCATCCTGCCCATCCCATTCCCCCAAGCTCTCCCAAATTCTCCCCTTCTCCCTTCTCTCTACCCATCTCCCCTTACATCCACCCCCCCCACACCCCTGTGCACCCAAGTTTTGTCTGGCAATCTTGTCTACTTCCAATATCCAGGAGGATAACTATATGATTTTCTTTGGGTTCACCTTCTTATTTAGCTTCTCTAGGATCACGAATTATAGGCTCAATTGATAGAGGAGGGTTATCTGTTTATGTGTTACTTTCATTGATTATAAAAGAAACTGCCTTGGCCCTTTGATAGGACAGAAAATTAGGTAGGCAGAGTAAACAGAACAGAATGCCGGGAAGGAAGAAGGCAGTGAGGCAGTCGCCATGACTCTCCTCTCCAAGACAGACGCAGGTTAGGATCTTACCTGGTAAGTCACCACCTTGTGGTGCTACACAGATTACTAAATATGGGTTAAAGCAAGATGTGAGAATTAGCCAATAATAGGTTGAAACTAATGGGCCAGGCAGTGTTTAAAAGAATACAGTTTCCATGTAATTATTTTGGGTAAAGCTAGCCGGATGGGCGGCGGGAAGCGGCCCACCGCTCCTACTACACTCAATGTCCTTTAATTATGGCTAGAATCCACTTATGAGTGAGTACATACCATATTCCTCTTTTTGGGTCTGAGTTACCTCACTCAGTAAAGCGTTTTCTATTTCCATCCATTTGCATGCGACCTCAATCTTAATCTGACCACATTGAACCTGATAGAAGAGAAAGTGGGAAATAGTCTACAAAACAAGGGCACAGGAGACCACTTCCTAGGTAGAACCTAGCACAGACAATAAGAGCAACAATGAATAAATGGGACCTCCTGAAACTGAGAAGCTTCTGTAAAGCAAAGAACACTGTTATTAAGACAAAAAGGCTACCTACTGATTGGAAGAATATCTTTACCAACCCCTCATCAGACAAAGGTCTGATCTCCAAAATATACAAAGAACTCAAGAAACTGGACACTAAAACTCTAATTAACCCAATTAAAAAATGGGGTACTGAACTGAACAGAGAATTCTCAACAGAAGTTCGAATGACCAAAAGACACTTAAGGTCATGCTCAACCTCCTTAGTGATCAGGGAAATGCAAATCAAAACAACTTTGAGATACCATCTTACACCTGTCAGAATAGCTAAAATAAAAAATACCAAATGGTAGCCTATGCTGGAGAGGATGTGGAGTAAGGGGAACACTCATCCATTGTTGGTGGGAATGCAAACTTGTGCAGCCACTTTGGAAATCAGTGTGGCGGTTTCTCAGGAAACTGGGAGTCAACCTACCTCAGGACCAGCAATTCCACTCTTGGGAATATACACAAGAGATGCCCTATCATAGTACAAAAACATTTGTTCAACTATGTTCATAGATGCACTATTTGTAATAGCCAGAACCTGGAAACAACCTAGGTGCCCTTCAATAGAAGAATGGTTAAAGAAGGTGTGGAACATATACACATTGGAGTTTTACTCAGCGGTAAAAAAACAATGACATCTTGAATTTTGCATGCAAATGGATGGAAATCCATAGGTGTTGGGAATCCAAACTCAGATCCTCTTGTTTATGCCACAGGCGCTTTACCAACTGAGCCGCATCCACTCTTGTTATGCGTTCTAAAGAAAACTGGTCTTTCTGAGACCAGAGCAACATTGTATCACCCATTTTAAATATTCCCCACGTTTAACAAAAACTTAGGCCAAGAATACCCATTTCTAGCAGCGTGTACTGTTGTGGTTTGGATATGAAGTGCCCTGTGTGCTCGCCCTCTCACCCTTCAGGCTGATGTGTTGAAGCCTTGTGATGCTGATGAGAAGCAGTGATTTTCAGGGGTGGAGCCTAGTTGGAGTGAGCAGGCATGTGCTTGGAGACTGTGCTGCTCTGGACCACTCTTGGTCACTCAGTCTGTTTCCTGGCCACCGTGAGGCGAGCAGCCTCTGCTCCGCACTCCCACAGCGTGAGACTCTGCTATACACCTCCGTTAATCCAGCAAAGCTTGGACGGAAGCTGAGTTCAAATAAACTCTCGTTCTCAATTGTTTCTCTCAGGTGTTTGATGTCAGTGATGAAAAACTCGCTAGCACAGGGAAGTTACAAGTCCCAGTATCTTACCCTGGTTGTCTCTACAGTTGGCCTTCACACCTTCAGCCTTTTAAATTGTCCCGGAAGTAGGCAGCCTCATCTTGCTTAACTCACATGACAACTGAGGTCTGTTGAGGGCTGAGACTCATACTGCCTATTACCAGTGATTGATTCGACCCTCTTGCCTGAGGCCTGGTTTTCTTTCTTTTCTCCACCCAACACTGAATAGAGAAGTATGCTTTGTATATAGCCTCAGAATCTCACTCTCCCCAGCCTTGACTCTTCCTTCTGGCAAATCCACCTTATTTCCCCCACTCAGCCAGTTCTGAGGACAGATCACATTATAAGGTAAGTTTAAAATAAGGATGGGCACGGTTCTGGGGTGGTAGCTCAGTCAGTGTTTGCCTCGAAAACACGAGGATGAGTTAAACCTTCCAAAATCCACATTAAATAAAGGAAGCCAGGCCTGATGCTGCATGCTTGTAATCCCAGGGTTGAGGACACAGAAACAGGTGGGTACCTGGGGCTTCCTGGCCAGCCAGCTAGCCTACTTGGTGAATTTCAGGTCCATGATGATGCTATCCAAAAAAAAAAAAACAAAAAACAACAAGGTGGATGGCACCTGAGGAGCAACAATTTAGGGCCTCTAGCCTACATATGCACAGCACACACATACACACAACATCATACATACATACATCCACCTATAGAACACATAAAAGGAAACCCACTTTGGTTTAAAAGAAAATACATTCATCAAGACAGTGGTTTTGGAAGCCATCACACAATTTTATATATAATGAACCATATCAGAAGTGACAATACAGAAAATATTTATGAGTCAACAGTAGATCGGGCATCTTGCAAAAGTTGCATGGTCAAAACTTCTTTCTCTAAAATGATAGCTTAGAGAAAGTGATGCAGTTTATCAAGTGTATTTCACATTGTCCCAATAAATCATTAAATATTTAAGCACCATAAGGTTCAAGCATTTCCCATGGATGTGGCACCTACGCGCCCTGTTTTAACTGCGTTATGCAGAGTTTCTTGTGAATGGCAGAATTGTAGAATGCTGAGTTTTTTGATGTCAATTGTTTGGTCCCTGCAGACCTTACTCATAATGTCCCTGCAGGAAATTGTGATAACTTTTTGTGGTACAATAACCAAGAACTGAAATAAAGAAGCATTCCCAAAGATGTTAAGAGCTGCCTAGGTATGAATAATTCTAGCCAGTAATTCATATGCCCTGGGAGAATCAACATGTAATTTTATTTTGGGTCAGAAGGGAGACAAGAAATAGTTTTCATATTGAATACCTTATTTTAAATAGACGATGTGATGATAATTGGTGCATGGTGGCTGCTATGCACTAGGTGGGTAATAATCCAACTTTAATTTTCAACATGAGTGTAATGTCCTAACTTATAGATGAGGGAAATTGAGCAGAAATCACCCATGGCAGCAGAATTGGGAAGGGACACATCTGGGTTGAAACCTAGGTCCAACCACAGGTCCTCCTTTGCCCACGCTTCTTACAGCCAGCTATACCAAGTAAAAGAGACAGCTGTTAAACTATTCCAGTGGTCCGGCAGGACCCTTGGTCACAAAGGAGAGCCATCTGTTTTGCGGTAACCTGCAGGAAGTGCAAAAGGAACATTTCGATGAAGTCCAAGTCTCCTGTGTATTCTGCTGATGTTTTCTAAGCACTCAAAACATACATGGACTTCGTAGATGCAACTTGGTACCAAGAAGTCTTTAAATCATGAGAGAATACAGATTGCAGCCTGAGCCGTCATGCTCTTTCAGTGAAGGATCTTCTTTCTGCCAACTCTCTGAGCAAACCTCATTTCTGACTTCAGCTCATAGAAAAGTAATTAAAAAGGGTCAGTGTTGGTTGACTGGTGTTGTGTTAATAATTGTAGTAAGAGCTTGTGGGTGTGTGGGAATGTTTAATGTTTTGATATTCTGAAGCAAGAAAGGCTTATTATGCTGGGCTCCCTTTTACCAATGATATCTTATATGCAGAGCTGAACATGAAAGGTCTAATAAGGTCTAGAAAATTGTCACTGGATGACAGAGTTGAGTCAATAATGGGCACATTCATATGCTAACAGTGGACATCCGAAGACGAGCACAGCATGGTCCCTGTCCCACAAGGGCTTCAGTTATTAACCAGGGAAGGAAAGGGGTGTGCTAATATATTAGAGGAGGGGGATGGAGAGCAGACAGCCCCCCAAGTCTCTGGGAAATTCATACACCTACACTAGTCTACTGTACTAGGATAAACGTGTGTCCACCCAGCCAATGGACCCAAGGGAGAGCATCGATGCTGGAGAGAGGAACCAGAGACACAAAGAAACTGAGTGCTTCGCAGATCTGTGTGCAGCTCAGGCTCACGAGAGATGCTCGCAGACACAAGCCTCACAGTTCACGCTGGACTTTCACCCCCTGTGAAGTCATTTGGACTTCATAGGCAGTGTGGTCATTGTGGATTTTAAGCCAAAAGATAACAAAATCTAATTTGGGTGGAATTTAGAGGATGGCCGGGTTTCCAGACTGGAGCTATCTCCTGTGAGAGGCTAGGTGGAAAGCTGTGTGTGATGTAAGAAGCATGGAGGGGGTAGTAGCCCCCACAGAAATGGGGATGTTTCAGCCTGGGGAACAGACCACAGGCACCATGGACACCTGCCTGATGGAAAGGTTCCACTTACCAAGAATGAGGACCCAGAAAGAAACACTCAGTCCATGTTCTAGCATGGGGCCTCCAAGTAATTCCCATTAGGGATCTAAGCACATTCCAGCCAGACAAGGGCGGAGGTTCTAAAAAAGAGGTTTAGATAAGACCATCACAGTAATGGGTTAGGATGACTACAAAGCTTTGTTCGTGTTCCCCGCTGAGCAAGGCTGTTCCAAAAACATTGATATATAGCCAGGTGGAAAGAGAAATAGTAACTTTAACATAACACGCTCTTCTGTCCCAAGAATGTTTTTCCTATTGTTTTGCCCTTTTGGACCATTTCAAAATACATTTCTGATCCATGCCATATTCAGAGAAGAGCTGTGGAATCTATACTTTGAATTGTTTCATGGTTTCTATCTCAGGGAGCTAAACTGTCCTCCTGATTCAGCCAGTCCTAACTTATTTAAGAAAAGTGTTAATATCCTAACCGCAAAGTTGAAGGGTTTGTGTTCTAATGATTCACCTGTTCCCCTCATCTCTTCCTGAAACCTGTTCGCAGACCAAGTTCATCATGAACTATCAGGAGGCCTTGTTTGGGGTGATAGATAAAGATTCTGGAAACACAAGAGTAATGCAAATAAAAAAGAAGTGGGCTTCAATTTCAGACACTCAAAATATTCAGCACGGATAGCATGAACTCAAAATCAAATAGGTCAATAGGAAACATTCTGCTATATTAAGAAAATGTTTCATGTTAAAATAGAGATCTTCAGCCCTGGTTACGTAGTGAATTCCAGACGAGGATGAAACAATATCAACCATGTCTTCAATAACAAAACAAAAAAACCAGGTTTCTTTATTAAAAAAAAAAAAAAAGAAAGACAGAAAAAGAACAAACAGAGAAAAAAAAGAAAAGAAAAAAGGCTGAACTCCTAGCACTTTGGAGTTTCCAGGAAATTGCCAAGATTTTGAAGCCAGCATGGAGTTTTGTAGTGAGTCCGGGGCCAAGCTGGACTCCAGACTGAGGCACTAGCTTTAGAAACAATAAAATAAAATAGACATTATTGACCAGAAAGTTCTCTTAAGCTGCCCTCCCACAGGAAGCCTACAACAAAAACGCTAAATGTATTCTGTATAAAGGAGCCCGTCGTTGACCAAAGGATGGCAAGGAAAACATGTCTTAGAAACGTTTTCCTGTTTACCTTTGTTTTCAATTCTGTGTGTGCATATGTGTCTGTGGGTGGGTATTTGCATGTGTACGGGAGTTGCCCATGTAGGCTAGAGAGGCACTGGAGTTATGGTGACCACGAGACACCTGACCCGGGTGCTAGGAACCGAATTCAGATCCTGCGTGACAATGGTAAGTGCTCTTAACTACTGAGCCATCTCTCCAGGCCCGGAAACAAAATTTTAATTGAGTTTTTCTTTCAAGTATTCTTAAGTGCCCTGAAAAGTGAGCTCGGGCATGAGTGTCACCCTCAGGGGAAAATCCTTTCTTCTATTAAAATGCCAGTTTTACTCTAGCTGGGGAAGGTGAGTTTCAGGGTGGGGGAAAATAGTCTTTTCTAGCAAGGCTTTCTATTCGTGATTTGTAGTGGTCCCTGACTGAGTAGCCAGCAGACCCTTCGGTATGCAGAAACATCACTGCGAATTGACACGGATCCTGCAGGAGCTGCTGAGGTCCAGCGTCAAACAGCTGTCTCGCCATGATGCTAATACAATATAAAGAATGTTTGAAAATTGGCAAAAACGGATGCTCCCATTAAAAAAAATAATCACAGGAGCTCAAAATTCAGATTGGATATATCGCCTTTGTTTCTGTTCAAGAGAGCCCCATGCCTTCCTAGTGGGGTGACCCTGACATAAATGAATCTTCTTACCTAAGTTTAATTAAGCCAGCCCTTAATTTTCTCCCAAGTGCATAATGATAGCCCTGTCACTTCAGGAGCCAGTAGCCATTATGCGTGTGGAGGAGGAGCCTCGCGGGTTCTCCTGGGGAGGAGAGCCAGAGGCTTTGTACCAGCCTCCGGATTGCCTGAGTAAGCCCCATGTGGCTTCAGTGCCATTAGCAGAAGGACACTCTGGCCCCCGACTGGGGAAAAGTAGTCTGTTTGCAGGTTCCCTGGGATGGGGAGTCGATTTTTGTGAATCACTACCTTAATATTCATTAATAGCTTTTAGGCTTCTAATCCCTTATTGAATATATTTTTTCTATAATTCCTACTTTTCAAAGGGGTTGCCAAAGTAGGCATTTCTATTCTCTGTAAAATGCAGGAGAGAACATAATGTTTTATATTCGTCCGTGAAGTGTTTATGCTAATGTCGAGGCCCTGGAATACAGGACTGCAGGCCTTCCTGGCAAAATGACTCATTCTGCTTTGAAATGAACTGCTAATGTTGGCAGTGCAGAGAGGCTGTTTTTCTATTCTTCCTCCTTTTTTAAAAACCTCTTTGGGCCATGGTCCCACAATTATTTAAAGTGCATGGTTAAAAAGAATAGATTATAATAGATTAGAGAGGAAATCATTTTGAAACATTGAAAAATCTCTGCTACATAGCTTCATTTGTTGGCCTATTTATACTGTTCCTATAAAAATCTAGCCAGAAGCCCAATGGATTACAGAGTAATTGACTTCAGTTGTCTGAGACGCTATCAACCAATGAATGAAGTCTTCAGTCATATATAATCTGGTCTTTGTCATTCACTTGTTTTTCTGGGAATTAACACATGTTCAAATAAAACCTGTTCTTCCATCATCTCAATAAAAGGGGAATGTGTGGGTTTCATCTGGATTGGTGGGGGCCAAACAAATCCACGTGTGCAGCGTTCGCTTGATCTGTAGCGAGGAGAAGGAGGGCCCCTGGAGGAGCCACGCTGCGACAGGGCGTGGCTGAAGGAGAGAGCACCACTGAATTTGCTACAGTAGTTGGGGCATCTTTTCCTCCACGGAAGTCTCTCTTGATGCCCGTTTGCATGTTTTGAGTCCTCTAGCTGTTTTGACTTCGCAGGCAGACCTGGCACCGGCTGATTTTCTGGCGCTGGGCCTGAACTTCTTTTAAGGTGACCGGTGACGGGCTAGAGGAAAACTGCCGGTCTGGGCTCACCGTGGTCAGCCAGAAGCTGTATTTATTGGCGAAAAAGTGACAGGTTCCCTGTCGGCCCTGGCATTCCAGGAATGGTGCAGCTCTGAAGTCCTCTAGACAGCTTCCAGGTGACATGAGGGCCTGCCCTCCTCCTTGGTCTCCAGCTCCAGTGTGCTACCGAAACAAAAATGAGGAGTTAAGGCTCAGCCAATTTGAAAATTCTTACATCACTCAATAAAGAGCAACTTAAATCTGCTGAGGTGCACTAAGAAGTGTTTGGGGTGACTATGTAAAATGGAGCCAATTTCACTGATGGCTAAAGTAAATCCATCTTCTGCCAAACTTACCAAAGAATAGTGAATGAGAAAAAAATTAAAAATAATAGTGAAGGCCTTGTAGCTCAGCAAGCTATAGTCCGCACTGGCCTGGACGACCATGTGTCCTCTGGTGTCTACACAGTACACAGAACTACCATCTAGACAGGAATAAGATTCAGGGATAGGAGACTCACCATCAGGAATGAGTATCCGATCCAGAGGCTCCTCCACCCCCGTGGACATGGTGGAATGGATTGGTCCTGACTGTGGACCGCCACTGCCTGGGCTGGGGCCTCACACACAGCGCAGCGGCTGATGTAAGGGCGGATCTCTTCCTCTGAGAGTGGCATCATGGGAAGAGGAGCCGCACTGGCCAACCAGTAGGACCTGTCATTTCTCTGGGCATAGTGGCACACTTGGTGAATGTTGCAGTAGGCAAAGGGCAGTGTGCTAAACACGGGAAGACAAGACCCCGCCAAACCTTAGAAAGAAGAAGATACACAGTCTATGAGCAGCCTGTTGTGTGCAAGCAGCCAGTGACTCCCACAGGTGACGTTTATAGACACCTGCTATGATCTACTTGTTGGGAAGCTCCACCCAGCCCCACTCCTCCCATTTCAGACCCCACCCCTGAGAAAGCCCGCCATCAACAGCTCCTCCTCTGGACGGTCTCAAGACCGCCTACAGACTACTTAAGACCCTGCCCACAGATCTGCCACATGTACTCTTGTGTTCTGTCTCCTGCCTTCCTGAGAGCCACCAGGGAGTGCTCGGCTTTGCCTTGTCCTGTTTGTTAAACCTGCATTTATTAATTCGGTTTAACTTGGCTTATTGTGTCAGTGGTGGAGGAACTCGGCAACCAGGGAGCCAGTACCTATCTATCACTATGGAAAACCACGGCAGAGTCCATAGCCACTTGGGCCACCTCCCTGATCTGTGGACCAGCCTCCATCTACACATCCCTCTCTCTGGAGACCAACAGCCCACCAAGGGCTAGAGATGAGCACAGACATGTCGTCTTCTCAGTACAAAGAGCAAACAGAGGGCAACAGACAAGGCAGAGAAGCCCTGTGAATGAGAGACGTGGGTTGCCTGAACCTTCCAGAAAGATGACTGGAACTTTATTCTAAACTGGGTTACCCAATGTGAAAATTTTGGGTTTGGAGACAGTGACGATCTTTCAAAGGAGAAGATGCTGAGATGGAGAGATCCATAGGCACAGAGTGTCTGGCTCGGAGCTCAGCAGAGGCATGTGGGAGCCAGGAGAATGCATCTATGTAACTTCATCTCCAGGTATGTGGAGAGAATTCAAACCATAGGGTGTTGGCTTTGGCAATCATGTTAAGAGGCTTGGATTTTGCTCAGGGGTTCAACAGAGATAGCTGTTTTGCTTATAGGGTAAGAGAAGAACCCGATATTAGAAAGGAAAGGAGAGAAAGCAGGCTCAAGATAAACACTCCTCCTTCTTTCGCCTGTCCTTAAAGAACCTAGGCATCTAAAGAAGGAAGGGACATGGCAGTACCAAGAGGAAGATAAAGATGGCCATCTGCACAGCTGCTACCCATAAGCCTGACACACTGTCACCCCTTAACTGGTGAGGGACCAGTCTAGTGAAGGCAATAAGACCCACCCAGCTGCCCATATTGGTACACACTTTCTGCCTCCACCATCCCTGCCACTGTTCTCATATTCCTTGACACTAGGTCCTGCTGCATATAAATCTGCTGTTGGATGATGGGAAGGAACACAGAGGGCTGATGCTTAAAGTTCTGCAATTCCCCAAACAAAACAGAATGGGCCTGAGATCCAGCACTGGCCGCTGCTATAGCATGTACCTAGCAAGTTCTGCTTTCAACAAGCCCATCCATAAATACGGGAGCTCAGTATGCCCAATTAAATAATTTATATTTAGTAGCAAAAGGTTGCATTCTGTAACAAAGTTACATTTATTCTTTTACAGAAGAACACTAAAATAAAAAAAAATATCAAAGCCCATGTCTGTAGTGGGTCATGCCTATGGTGGCCCATACCTGCATTGGCCCATGCATGTAGTGGCCCATTGATGTAGGAGTGTTATTATAAAGGATAAATTAGATATAAAACTTTAGACTCACAAAGATAGGATAGATGATAGGGTATTTTCCTTAATTTTCAAATGTAAATGGATTAAATATTTGTAACTATAATTCTTGCTTGATAACTGTTTTGTATATGCAATTTTACTGTGCTAAAGTTAAAATCTTTTTTTAATTAGATGAAAAAGGAGAAATTATGTGGGATGTCCATATATATATATACACATATATATATACATATATATACACGTATATATGTGTGTATATATATACGTGTATATATGTATATATATGTATATGTGTGTGTGTGTGTGTGTGTGTGTGTGTGTGTGTGTGTTGCTTTTATTGGCTGATAAATAAAGGTGTTTCAGCCAGTGGCTTAGCAGAGTAAAGCCAAGCAGGAAATCTGAACAGAGATATAAAGAGAGAGTATGTGGATTCAAGGAGACAACATGTAGCTGCCAAAGATGAAGGATGCTGGAACCTTTCAGGTAAGTCACAGCCTGGTGGCAATATACAGATTAATAGAAATGGGTTAATTTAAGATGTAAGAGCTACAAGTCCAAATGCATCAAAAACCTCAACATAAAACAAACCACACAACCTCATAGAAGAGAAAGTGGGAAGGACACTTGAACACATTGGCACAGGAGACCACTTCTTAAATATAACCCAAGTAACACAGACATTGAGAGCAAAAAAAACTTCTGTAAAGCAAAGAATATGGTCAACAAGACAAAACGGTACTACAAAATGGGAAAAGATCTTCACGAACCCCACATCAGACAGAGGGCTGATCTACAAAATATACAAAGAACTCAAGAAATTGGTTATCAAAAGAACAAATAATGCAATAAAAAAATGGCATATAGACCTAAACAGAAAACTCTCAACAGAGGAATCTAAAATGGTTGAAAGACACTTAAGGAAATACTCAACATCCTTAGTCATCAGAGAAATGCAAATCAAAACAACTCTGAGATTCCATCTTACACCTGTAAGAATGGCCAAGATCAAAAACACTGATGACAACTTATGCTGGAGAGGTTGTGGGGTAAAGGGAACACTTCTGCATTGCTGGTGGGAGTGCAAACTGGTACAGCTGCTTTGGATATCAGTGTGGCGATTCCTCAGAAAATTAGGAAACAACCTACCTCAAGACCCAGCAATACCACTTTTCGGTATATCCCCAAAAGATGCTCAATCATATCACAAGGGCGTGTGCTCAACTAAGCTCATAGCAACATTGTTTGTTATAATCAGAACCAGGAAACAATCTAAATACCCCTCAACCAAAGAATGGATAAAGAAGACATAGTACATTTACACAGTGGAAAAAAAAATAATGACATCTTAAAATTTACAGGCAAATGGATGGATCTAGAAAACATCATATTGAGTGAAGTAACCCAGACCCAAAAAGACAAATATCATATGTACTCATCATAAGTGACTTTTGGACATAAAGCAAAGAAAACCAGCCTACAATTCACAATCCCAGAGAACCTAGACAACAAAGAGGACCCTAAGAGAGACATAAACGGATCTAATCTACATGGGAAGTTAAAAAAAAAAAACAAGATCTCCTGAGAAAACTGGAAGCTTGGGGACTATGGGAGAGGGTAGAAGGGGTGGGATTGGGAGGGGAACAGAGAAAATAAAGCTCAATAAAGACAATTTTTTTAAAAAATGCTATGAACTAGCTAGGAAAATGTCTAAGCTATTGGCAAGCAGTTTTGTAATCAATATAGTGTCCATGTGATTATTTGGGTCTGGGCAGCTGGAAAACAAATGAGCAGTCTCCATTTGCAGCCCAAGTCTGTGGAGCCCCATGCCTGTGGTGCCCCCATGTCTGTGGTGGCCCACAGCTTTAATTCCAACACTTAGGAAGCAGAGACAGGTTGACTTCTGTGAGTTTGAGGCCAGCCTGGTCTACACAGTTCCAGGTCAACCAGCACTGCATACTGAAAGCATGTGTCAAATAAAATAAAAGTGAGTAATAAGTAGGCAGGTAATAACCAGTCACCAGAATGAGGCTCAGTGGTAGTAACAGGATCGTGGAAATTAGCATGAGAGGGTTGTTTTGTTCCTAAATAGTAATGCCATGGAAGATTAGTGGTTAAGAAGTTGATGCATCTGTAAGGTTAATCCCAGAGTTTTGCTCTCTGAACCATAGCATGGATGGCCCTGTATATCACATGACAGCATCTGTCTTGGTAAATCCATACCTAGATCTTGATTGTGTGCCTTCTCCTGTCCTTCCATGTATAACAGGCTATACCCGGTCCAAAGCCGGGGCATACCCATAGGGCAAGCGGGTTCTTGATCTGTCTGACTGTGGAGAACAAGAAGAAAGCCACTGAGGTATCCAGGGCCAAACCCCTTGGGCCCAGGATCACCAATCGAACCAGGAGGGCCTGCAGAAAGAAAGGGAAAAAAAGAAAGAAAAAACAAAGCCCACAATTTAGGATATTCCATTTCATAAGCATTTTCTAGTTTCAGCATCATGCTTGAACAGAGGGAAGCAGAACACAGCCTGCCTCTCAGAACTGCACCCATAGTCTCTCTGTAGTTCACAGAACACAACTTCTTGGCATGGAGGAGGGGTGTCTTAGAAACCCCTTGCAATGGTTACTAAGGATAAAAACACATCCCTGGTGACAGGGATGTATCGATATAAAATAGAAAACATGAACATCCCTTGGATGCTTTCAGAGCTCATATCCAAGGCAAATCTATTTGTGCATTTGCTTGAGAAGAGGCTGCGAGTGAACACTGCAGTGTCACGGAAAAGAGAAGCAAGGGAAACTCTACCTGGTGCTCCGGGGCAGCCAGCCTCTCCAGTGTCGCCTTTGTGTCCTGGAGGCCCAGGAGATCCAGGGAAGCCATCCTGGCCCCTCCTGCCATCCAGCCCAGGCTCTCCTTTGCACCCTGTGGGAGAGTTCATGATGATGGTAGTGAAAACTTCAGCATGTACATCCCATGAACCGCCTCTGGGTTCTTCCCCCCTTGGAGGACATGGAATCTGCCCAAGTGCATGACATCAGCTTATGACCTCCCAGGCAGCATGACGTCAGCTTAGATCTCCCCAAGCAACTGGGGAAACTGAGGTTCTGAAAGGTATGGCAAATTGATATTAGTTCCACCATGATCTGGTAAAGGGCTATAGCCCTAGACCAGGGAGGTGTTGAGAGGGATGTTATTCCATTTTCTTCATTTTATTATTAGTGTTGTTGTTGCTTTTAGAAGATGTTGAACAAGTAATAGTTTTATAATCAAGCATTCTTTCAAGATGATGTTTTTAAAATCTGGATGAAAGAGTGAGTCAAATTTAACAGAATTCCTTTTGTTGGTTGTATTTGGTTGGTTGGTTAGCTGATTGGTTGGTTTTGTAGACAGAGGGTTTCTCTGTGTAGCTCTGGTTGTCCTGGAATTTGCTCTGTAGACCAGGCTGGCCTCAAACTCAAATCTGCCTGCTTCAGCCTCCCAAGTGCTGGAATTAAAGGCATGTGCCACCACCCCCAATTTAGGATTAAGAATGGCTTCTTATCAAGGGTTTGGGATATGCTGGTTTCAAGTTAACTCCTTTGTGTGAATTATTAACTGAATCTTCCAGTCTACCCTTACTCCAGAGGGAGAGAGAAACCTCCGCAGGCATGGCATGCACACGTGGACTAGCCAGGGAGCAAAGGCAGAGATGGTGTCCCTTAGCCCCCCGCCCCACCTCTTGACAAGCTGCAGATGCATCCTCGTGGATCTTGGCACAACTGCACTGTTCTTACAGGGTGTTTTAAGTGTTTGGCTTCCCTTTTCTTCTTTCCAGTTCCTTAAATGTAGTTTCTATGGGGTCATAGTAGCAGCTCATCATGTTTGTGGGTGTTTATGCTAAATCGTTTAACTGAATTACTTACTATCCCTCTCCGTGTTTCTAGCCCCTACTTGTTATCTCCTTCCTTGAATTAGCTCATTACGGGCTGATGTGTGCCACTTCTCTTCCAAATTCGTAGTGAATTCCTAACTCCCAGCACCTTAGAGTGTCTATATTTGGCAACGATGTCTCTAAAGATATGATCAAGGGACTAACAAGGCTCTAAAGGCGGGTAAACCCAATCTGGTTGGGATCTTTACAGGAAGAGGGAGATGCTGCTACCAGGAAAGAAACCTCAAAAGAAACCAAACTCATGGCTGCCTTGATCTCAGACTTGCCCACCACAACAGAGGGGTGGAGTATTTGTGTAGATCTGCTCATTCCTTATGACGGCCAGAGCAAACTGAAACATCATTTAAGACTGGCCCATTCACCCAAAGGAGGACCGACCAGAGTTCAGATTCCAGCACCCATATGGGGCGACTCGCAAACACCTGCAACTCCTGCCTCCTTAGGAGAATGAGGGGGTCACTTTACTGGTCTTTCTTCTGGCCTCCTGCCTCCTTAACACCATGATGACAAAGCTGAGAAATGCTCCCCCAGACCTACAGAAGAGATGGGCTTTACCGTTGACAGGGGAGAACATAGAAAGTAGAGGGACCCACCAAAGACACTGTCCAAATCCTGTGCCGTCAACCACAACCCAGCCCTGAAGAAAGATGCCGGGTCTGGGGCTGGGAAGCTAGTAATATCGGGGAGGGGGGCAGACATCATTTCCTTCACTGCACTGCGCTAGGATGCTCCTCTTCCTCCCCACCTGCACCCCTGCTGCCCCAGTTTAGGCTCTGGCTGGGTTTTTAACTTTTGCTCCAGTAACTGACTAGCTGAGAACACCCTGGAATCCAACCTTCCTTGTCAAGCAGGCCTGAACAATTCCCAGCCACACAGGTGTTTCTGCTTTTGAGGCAGAAACCCAAAAGAGTCCAGAACGACAGCCTTCAAATTTGGCCTTAAGTCAGCATCTGCCACCATGGGTTGGCCCAGATTCAGAGAATCCGCATTTCTGGCACGTTCCCACATGGTGCTGATGCTGCTGTTATTGGGGAATCACATTTTGGTAACGACTGCTTCTAGACTTCGAAGTTTACAGCTCATTCTAGCAATGAACTTGATGGTATATTTTGAAAACCCTGTATTTCTGCCTAGTTTATGCTTCTCCTGCTCTTTTTTGTAATTTTTGTTCTTATTTCTGCCTGTTCTTTTTTCTAGAAACTAATTTAATGTTTTACACCCAACCAACCTTTTTATGTTCGTATGTGTGTTTATGTGAGCACACACATGCATATTTGTGTGTGTGTGTGTGTGTATGTGTGTGTGTGTGTGTGTGTGTGTGTGTGAGGGTGGGTTACATGCATATTCAGGTGTCCACAGAAGGCAGAAGAGTGGATGGATTCCTCAGAGCCAGAGTTGCGGGTGTATGTGAGCTGCCCGATCTGAACTCTTATCCTCAGAAGTGAGCAGCAAGCTCTTCACAACTGAATCATCTCTCTAGCCTCCATCTGCCAACTCTCAACACAAGAAATGGTACTCAAGGTGCTTGTAGTAAGGAAACAATACCTATAGCAGCTATAACAAAGAGATTTACCACTTATTCTGTCACTTGGTGACATCAGACCATCAATGACAGCTAATTCATCATCAGCCTCTTGGACATGAGGACACCTGACAGAGTACCTGGAGTCAAGTTCTGAGTGTCCCTTGCTAGCCGTCACACGTCCTCTCTGGTCTAATCAGAGATGCTCAAGTAGGAAATATTCATCACCCAGACAAACAGACATACTAGTGAAAAAGTGAAGCCACCTTAAATCCATTTAAGGTGGCCCGGAACAGCAGCACTCAGAACTCTTAGAAAAAATGGATCTTGAAGCCCTCTCCGCATATGACAAGACAGGAAATCTAGGCTGAGGCCAGCAATCTGTGTTTTTAAAAGCTCTCCAGGGAGGAGGGGTGAAGGAAGGGATCTGGAAGTCCCATAAGGCTTGAAATTCCAGGCTTTAGATGTCCCTCACCCTTCTCTCTACCTCCAGGTTACCCCTGCTAACCTTGGAGACATCGGAGCCTCGTGTCAGTGCCTCTCTTTTCCTTGTCTGTTGCTCCCAGAGCATGGCTTTGTTGGGTTCCTTTATTTCTTGCAGAGTGCTGGCACCAAAGCAATCGATAAATAATTCATGAAAGTGGTGGTTAAATGAATTATGGCACAATCAAACAATGCAATATTCTGCAGCCACCGCAGACAATATTGTTGGGAAATATGTAATGACACAGAACTAATGGCATGTTCAGAACTGCAGTTGGCAAAACAGCGTGAGAAGACGGACTCTTTAAAACCGTACAGAAATAAGAGGGGACAGAGACACAGCCAGCGGTGCCTCCTAAAACTGTGTTTACTTTCTTTGTTCTTCTTCTTGTTTAAATCCCTATAATCTGTTTTGTGTGAGTGTGTAGGTATGTGTGTATGTGGGTTCCAGTACACACTTGAATGTAGGTGTGTGTGTGTTTACAAACACTTGTGTGTGTGTGTGTGTGTGTGTGTGTGTGTGTGTATACTGATGTAGAAACGAGAGATTGGAGGCAAGCATCTTCCTCAATCACCCTCCACTTTATCTTTAGACAGAGTCTCATGGAACCTGACACTTCCTGACTTACCTATTCTGGCTGTGTAGCTAGACCCGTAAGTTCCTACTGTTGTCTTCCTTCCCAGCACTGGAATTATGGGCACCCTGGCTGCACCCAGTGGGTTCTGGGGGATGGAACTGAGCTCCTCATGCTTATGTAGAAAGTACTTTACCAAGTTGGAGGGGTTGCTGCTCATGCCTTTAATCCAAGCACTCAGGAGGCAGAGGCAGGCAGATCTCTGTGAGTTCAAGACCAGCCTGGTCTATAGAGCAGAGTTCTAGGCCAGCCATATCTAAACAGAGAAACCTTGTTTCAAAAAACAAACAAACAAAAAAGGGAGGATGGAGTCAGTCTTTGTCAACAGAGTCATCTCCCTACCCCCAATAAAGTTTTGGGGGTTTTGTTTGTTTGTTTTTTAACTTCCCTAGAGACTGATGCTACCACTGTCGATAACCATACATCTCCCTCACAAACAGTTCTCAGTGTTAGGTGTTTCTATCTACCAGGGGCCATGTGTTAACATCTGGAAGCATTTCTGGTTGTCACAAGGTAGAGGTCCAATATTCATTTCTAGTGGTAGAGGCCAAAGACACGTCACAACACCCCACAGTGAGGGGCCCTTCGCAGAACAGATCCCAGGCTGCTATGGTCTCTAGGATTGCAGGAAACCAACGGACACAACATTCTGGTCTCATTCCACACCTTTTGGCCCTGCACTAGAAAGAACCGTGTCACAACCAGGCTGTGGAGGAAGCAAGAAACGGGTCGGTTCCCAGCCTCCCTTCTGATCCTCTGCACACAGATGCTGAACTCGAAGATACTACAATGGGTCCAAAGGGGGCTGTGCCTTCCAGAGCCCAGCACTCCCTAGCTCAGCATAAATTACCCAAGGTGGGCAGGATGTCCAAGAAGAAAATAAACTCCACAGAGAATACTGTTTGCCAGCACAGTATGGTTTTTGTACTAACGAGGGTTCTTCCACCCTGACAGTGACTGACCAGTGCTTGTCAGGTCAGTTCTGGGCACAGTGCAGCCACTGCCAAAATTCAGAACCACTTGCCCTGTTCTCTTCCTCCATCATCTAAGTGGCTCCTGTCCTTTTCTTGTCTCATCAACTGTTTCGGCTCCACTGGTTCACAACCCAGTCTTTTTTTTTTTTCTTTTTCTTTTTTCTGTCTGTTTTGGACGTTTGTTGTTGTTGTTGTTGTTACTGTTCAAAACAAAACCACCTACTCTGAAGTGCTATGGGGTTTCCAAATACATCCTCCAAGAGCTGGGCAAAGCTAAATGATTTAAATAGGAGCTCAACACAAGAAGAGGAAGACTGTATGGATCTAGAATCCAAATCCCTTTGTGTTGACACACAAAAACGTAAAAGAGGAAGACCGTTTCCACAGATTAGCCACCGTGAGTTGATTAGAGTCCTCTTGAAAAGACAATATCACAAAACACATAGGTTTTTATTTTGACAGTGAACTCAGAGAAGAAATTTATACCTGGTCCAGGGGGGCCTCTCTCTCCAGGGAGTCCCATAGCTCCCTCTGGTCCTCTGGGGCCTGGCACTCCGGGAAGTCCTGGGATCCGAGGACAGGAATCCAGGTCGGCAGGAGGCCCCGGTTCACCTGCAATTGGAATCACCGCTGTATAAATGGGTTCCCGTGCTTATGAACCAGCTCCTCCTACATTCTCCAGTGAGGGACGGATTCCTGACACGGCACTAAAACCTTAGCGAGAATCTTCGACAGTCCAGTGTAAGTTCCGCAACGGTGGGAACTTGCCCTGCTCCCTGCGGGGACCCTCACAAACCTTCTAGAAAGCCTTTGTGGATTAAGCGACTGCTGGAGTCAGAGACGGACAACCAATGAGAGCAGAAACAGAGACTACTCACTCTTGGCTGAGGTAGCAATACTTTGATGTCCTTCAAGGGATTTTCAACCTTTGTTCCCTATTTTACTAGTGAGCTAGGCATAGACTTCACTGCAAGAGGAAGGGACTAGGGGTCCCTAGAGGTCGGCTTAGCGTGTTCCTAATTCATTATACTGGAACCAGGTGGATTCACCTAGTATTGGTTTCCTCTATGTGAGTCAAGATGGCCAGAGGCTCCCGTGCAGTGGTTTTCAGTCTTGAAAAAATGTTGGAATGATCTACAGGGGCAACAAAGTAGACTGTTACCCGCCACCCTCCAGAACCCTGTGGTCCTCGGCAGCCTCAGCTGTGCCCTCAACTTCAGGCTTCATAAACCCGGCTACAAGGGATTTTCAATCATTTTGCAGATGGAACACCTGGAATTTCTGAGGTGAACCCCAAGGCTTGGTCTGACTTTAATTCTTCGGGTGGTTCCAGGGTCTGCCAGTGCTGAGAAGCACCAATACTGAGTTGACTGCAGATGGGCACATTGGGACCATCTGCCAGTTAGTCAGAAAGCAACTTCTGAATCGGGAGATGTGAGCTAGACTCTGATGTGTGCATTTCTAGCACGTTCCCAAGCAAGGTGAATTGTGCTGGTCAAGCATTCTGACCTGGAGAACCACGGCACTGGGGGGCTGACACGCTCTTAACTTACGGCTTGTATTCACATCGAGGCAGGCCGCTCCCCAAAGCCTCAGTCAGTCACTCTGGAACACCCCACAGGGGCTAGAAATACCACTGAGCAGTACCGAGAACAGCGAAGAGACACCAAAGGCCTTGTGTATCAGGGCCTGTGCCGAGCGCTTCATCACTCCGTTCCTTGGACAACCATGCCACGGGCCGTGTTTTCAGACTACCCCAGGTAAGAAAACCCCAGGGATACATTACATATTTATAGTTACACAGTCCAGATGTTGTCCAAACTACAATCCAGAAGGCAGTGGATCCAAATGTACCTACCTAACCAACACGTCATCTTATCGTTCTGCCACAAGCATGTTCTCTGTCTCTAAATTTCTCTGTGTCTGTGTTTCTATTGTCTCTGTCTCTATCTGTCTGTGTCTCTGTGGGTCTGTCTGTGTCTCTGTCTGTTTGTCTCTCTCTCTCTCTCTCTCAGTGTGTGTGTGTGTGTGTGTGTGTGTGTGTGTGTGTGTGTGTGTGTGTGTGTGATGTGGACTCATGTTCTACCATTGGGTTACATCCACAGCCAAAGAACTCTCAGTATGTGTGTAGTAAATTCTAATTAAAGAAATGCTAAAAAACCACACCATTTGGTTAGTTACAATTTTCTCAAAGTTCATGCAAATGTGCATAATGGTTTTAAATAGCGAGAATGAAGGAACAAGACTCTGAGGAACTCTGGCCATGACCACCGAGTAGCGAACCACACAATACTCTCTGTGCCTTTACAGAATGGACCTGAAGTCTTGAAGCTACTTGGGACTGAACCTTTCATAAAATATGGCATGAAATTATAAGCATCACAGGCCAAGAAAAATTTTCAGAATATGTCCAGTGTAATGTAAAATTGGACTTTGCTGCAAGGCTACTGAGAGAGATACACAGGAATGTCTCCGGTTTTTCCGGGATAAACTGGACCTTTCCAAGAAGAGGCCAAGTCGGGGGAGCTTGGCTGATTCGCTTTCTGTTGTTTGTTTTAGTTGTTTTGGCTTTTTGAGGTAGCATCTCCTTATATAGCCAATGGCAATTTGGATCAAACAATCTTCCTGCCTCGTTCTGCCAAGTGCTTGTATTACAGAGGTTTGACACCTCGCCCCTCTTTTGATTGGACTTTAGTTACGGACTGAAATATTATCCTTAAATGAATTTAAACTTACCACACAGAGAGGGCAGAAATAAAAATTCAACATCTCACTTTAATTTTAAATTATGAATATTTAAAATAGTATAATTTTTAAAAAAAACTTTTCTTCCTGTTTTTCTTTACCTTTTGATAATGTAGGAGCTGAAAGAAGGTAGGTAAACACATCTCTTCTAGAATACCTAAAGTAAGTTATGGGTCTGTTTTCAGGGCAATTTCTTTGGGGTAATAATAAATACCTGGAAAGAATAAATGCATATCTTCATAATTCATTTATTTTTCCTCTTTTTGTTTTTTGAGGTGAATTGGGCTTACAATTTTCTTTTCATTGTATTGTGTGGTGTTTGATTGCATGTATGTCTATGCGTCATGTACATGCCTGGTGCCTGTGGTTGCCAGAAGAACAACATATTCCCTGGAATTAGAGTTAAGAACAACTGTGAGCTGCCATGCGGATGTTAGAAATCAAACCCGGATCCTTTGGAAGAGCAGCCAGTGCTCTTAGCTCCTGAGCCTCTCTACAGCCCCCTTTTGGTGGACTTTTGAGAAAAGGTCTCATTCTATAGCCCAGGCTAGCCTGGAAGACATGGTAAATCCTCCTGCCTCAGCCTCCCAGTGCTGGGATTACATACATGAACCACCACCACCACCCGTGCCTGCTTTTCACATAAATTTGTTCTTGAAAATGGACTTGCCTCTTCGTGGGTGTAAGGGCCCATCTTTTAGTAATGTTGATGTTGCTCATTTTGGAGGCGTTGTATATGTTTCCATTGAAGGAACCCTAGGAGGAGCTGCACTATTGTGGGTTGTGCATCCAACAATGAGAGAACTGCTGAGCTGAACTCTTGTAACTGAGCTGGAGTTCTGTGAGCCGTGGGCCTCTCTCACCTCGACAACTTCTAATGAGGGCCACCGCCAGGACCCTAATATGAGATTGCTATGGCTGCAAAGTAGCCAAGACATTAAAACGATGATGCCAGAAGCCCCATCTACACAAAATTGCAGCAGCTTAACTCACAAACACGACGGAAAGGGAAAACGCAGACATGACAAGCAAACAGAGTCGGGGGAGATTATCCACTTCACTGCAACTCCTACCTCTGCAGCCTGAAGAGATCCAACGCCGAAATGCGAAACGAGGCGACAGTTTTCATGTGGTGAAGAGAAAATTGAGATTTGTGAGGGAGGACAGAAGTGAAACCAATGGCTGAGAGCACAAATAATCATTTGGGGGAGCATCAGCGACAAGCAGAGTGACAACGCCGTATTTACATAAAGCATCTGCATCATTGTGATTGACAGAAGCCGTTATGATTTCGCACTAATGGAGTGTTCGTCTTCACAAGGACTTGAAATGAAGCTCTCTTGAGGGGCTGACAATGCTGGCTGATTTTCTATGGTGAATGTGTCCCGAATGAGTGTACATAGGAATTATGGCACTTAAAGGCTTCTGAAAATTCTGTATTCATTTGTCACGTTTCATAGATGATATGCACAGAAAGGAAGCAGGAAGAATCCCAGTACCAACCCTCCGTCGGGCTGTACTGTGACCCCTGATGAAGCAGGGTGCTGTTTGTGCCACAAACATTGCAAAACATTCTGAATTCTCACTGCATATCTGGGATACTGTTTGGTGATTTATTTTATTTTATTTTTTGGTTTTTTGAGACAGAGTTTCTTTGAAGCTTTGGAGCCTGTCTTGAAACTAGCTCTTGTAGACCAGGCTGGCCTCAAACTCACAGAGATCCACCTGCCTCTACTTCCCTTCCCGAGTGCTGGGACGAAAGGTGTGGGCTACCACCACCCAGCTTGTTTGGGGGTTTTTAAAGACATTACTTCCACTCACCTTACATGCATGTGTCTGTGTGTCCTTTCTCTTCCCAATTCATCATTAAAGTTACAAAGTATTGGCTACATACTAATTAGATAAAATAACCTTTCTTGCCATAGGAACTAATGTACTTTTCAGAAGATACACATCTATTGAAATCTGGGGGCAAGAAGTAAACACAGAATCCTAACAGTAGTCAAAGCCTCCTTTGTCTCATGGGTGAAAAGCACACAGACATTTATTCCTTTATAAATAATATGTCTGATATCAGATCTTAATTAGTAATTGTATTTGTTCTGAAAGTTTATCAGACATGAGATTTGATGGGGCAGTCTGAAACAAATATATTCTTTATATCAGATGAGCTTAGCTCGAAGCAATGGTCTCTGAAGACTGACCCTCACAGTAACTACTTAAATGGGAGGCTATCTGGGCATGCCTTAGAAGATGACGGTCATCAGAAGCTTACCTGGAGGACCGATGGGCCCTTTTCTGCCTGGAGGACCAGGTAGTCCCTTCTCTCCAGGTGCCCCAGGAAAACCAGGTGGCCCTGGAGGTCCTGGGAATCCCATTGGTCCTAAAGAAAAGATAATGATGAGGGTATAGCAGGGATGTTACAGTGACTATAACTGTATCTGTATACATCTGGTATCTGTAGAGTTCTGCTCCAAGAAAGAGCAGGGCAGAGTCAGTGTGAGGGAGGTGCTTTGCCTTATTTTGAGACATGGTCCTGCTCTGTAGCTCAGGCTGTCCTGGAAGGCACTATGCAACTCAAGCTGGTCTTAGACTCATGATGATTCTCATGTGTCAGCATCCCATGTATTAAGATTCCACACATGAGCCACCACTATGCCTGTCTAGTTTCACTCCTTAAGTGTGGCTTCTACATTTTTAAACCACATGTGTAAGGTTTCTTAAATTTATATTGCTCAGTTCTGGTCCAGAAGATATATTCTTTATCTTTTCTAGCTTAGCTGTTTATTTAAGATAGGTCTCATCTACCCTAGGCTAGCCAAGAATTATCTTCGACTCCAGATCCTCCTGCTTCTACCTCCCAAGTGCTGGGATTACAAGAGAGCACCACCACCCAGTCTGACATGCTAGGCATCCAAGCTGGGGCATTCTACCAATTCTGGCCCATGTATCTTTCTTTCAATTTTTACTCCAGCCTGAGGACTTTTTAGAGGCAGCCAGGACATCTTAGAAATGACATCATTGTTTACAGAAGAAATAGGAATGACCTCACGTGAGGGAAGACGGCACCTCAGACCCTTAGAGTAAGGTAAAGAAGGTCTTCACACACTACCGAACAAACAGCCAACACTCATACCTTTCTGACCATCTTTGCCATCACATCCCGGGGCGCCCTCACACCCTGGAGGGCCTGGTGGGCCTCGAGAACCAGGTGGTCCAGGCAAACCACGGTCACCTGGATCCCCTTTCAGAAGGCTGGCATTCCCGGGGGAGCCTGGAGGCCCAGGTGCTCCTGACACAGGGAAGAGGCAAAAACATTCTTTAAGTCAAAGACAAAGGTGAATATTGGTGGCTTGGGAGCGTCTTAGAGAGTTAAATACAGTGATTTGCAAACAAGGCATGTAAAGAATCAGAAAAATAAGAAAATCAACAGTATCAAAAGTGAAATACAAAATGTATGTCATGGGGTCCAAGCCAAGAAAAGCTAGGTTAGTAACTGTTAAACTAAATAGACCTTATTTCTTCTGAACCATTTGGAAAATATCAGCTAACAGTTGATATCTTCAATCATCTAATTGTTTTAACTGGTTGCATGGATGGATGGATGGATGGATGGATGGATGGATGGATGGAGACTGAGTGGAGGGAAGGATGGGTGGGAGGATATGTGGATGGGTGGTTAAATGGACAGATGGACGGACAGACAGACGGATGGATGGATGGATGGATGATGGATGGAAGGATGGATGGGAAGGACGGTTGGTGGGTATGTGGTTAAATGGACAGATAGATGGCTGGGTGTGTGGATGAGTGTATGTATAGATGGGTGGGTGAGTGAGTGGATGGTTGGCTGGATAGATGAATGGGTGGGTGGATAAATGTATGGTTAGATGAATGGCTGGGTATATGGGTTGAAGGTTGAATGGATGAATGGGTGGGTAGATGGATAGATGAATGGATGAAATTTTAAGAAAGAAATTGTAGCTAATGAGAAATAAATGTGCCCTCAAAATTATAATCTTACTTTAAAACAAATATCTATGCATAGCAGTGAGCTGATCCCTTATTGTTACTTAGCTTCTGCACTTCCTAGCACAGTTTTTACTCCTTTTATTTTTTTTAATACAATTCCACCCTTACTAAGGTATGTGTCTCCACATAAGAGTTCTATGAGCCAGTGTGAATGTGGCTATCAACAAGGAAGAACCCATGACTGACCTATGCTCTTTATCCGTAGCCTAGACCCACTGAGTCTATGTTTTTTTTTTTTTATCTGCTAACAACTTCCATAATCTGGCCCATCTCTGTGCAACAGTGAGAGGGGCAACGGGCACTGCTGGCGGCCCATGTGGGAGCTTTCTGTGGATGTGCCAGGCTCTCTCGGCCTGTGGGCAGGTGCTAGAGAACAAGGAAGCACAGCTCTCTCCTGCTGGGCACTTGCTGCAGGCAGCGTCCATCTAGAGATGGGAAATATCCGGTCCACCTGTGTGTACCCAAGCAGCAACAGTCTGTTGCAGCCGACACAGAAGAGGGAACGGGCTGTGTTCTGGGCCTGGGAGATACTGCTGTCTGTGTTGCTACGCGGTGCATCTCCCTTAATCCATCTGTTCAGTGGGTAGAGCCACTTTGGCATGTCTCAGAGAGATGCTACAGCCGTATCCACCTAGTAGTTTCTAAGGAAGAAACCACTGCCATCCCCTGTCATGAAGCCATCGTACCTCTTGGGCCATCAGGGCCGGGAGGTCCCCAGTCTCCAGGTGGACCTGGATCAGGAATGTCACCTTTAGCAGGTCTTCCTGGAGCACCTATGCGACCAGGTGGTCCTGGTCTCCCTGGGGAAGCACATGTTCATCCGTTAGCCTCATTACAACTGAAATGTTTGGAACCAGTTCTCAGGGAAGGTTAAAAACACGCTGCTTCTTACCTGGGGGTCCTGGGAGGCCTTTTTCTCCAGAAAGGCCTGGGGGAGAAATTCCTGGGCTCCCAGGGTCACCTTTCTCTCCCTTTCGCCCAGGTATTCCCATGGGCCCAGGCGGACCCATTTCATGCAGACCTTATGATAAAAAACAGCACCAGTATTGCATCTATGAATTTATTCCTGTCACCTGAAAAGGACCCACCCCTCAGCAGGAGTACAGCAGAAGAAGTGGTTGGTTCTGCCCAGGGACCAAACTCTGGTTGCAATAATGCTCTAGTTCCTGAGCCCCGTTTCTTGCTTATGACCTATCACACTGACCAACCACAGGTTTGTTTTCTTTTGGGGCTTTGTCCCAAATTTTAAGAAATTTTAGTTTTGAAACAGTTTCACAAAGCAAAAATAAAAACAAACAAAAAAATTAAAGGAGATGATTATGCATAACTCGGAACAAATTGCTTAGAAAATTGCTTAGAAATCTGAGTGGAGACTGGTCTACCATAATTTGGAGCTTCCCATTGAAAGTGGAGAGATTTGGTTTCTTGGAAGGGTTGAATATTTAATAAGACCAATTGAAAGAACCACCAAGCAAATCATAGGTGACCTAAGTTACTTTTTGAATATCCAAAATCCACAAAGATTCTGTCTTTCACCAACAGTAGAGTCACGCCTAGCTGTAAAATCCTTCTTCTAACAAGCATTCAAATTTATGAGTTGGGCTCAACTACTATGTCTGATGTCAGCTATTTTAATGGGAAAAAAATACAATAGATATATTTTAATAGAATAAGCTGAAACATGCAGTTGAAGATTAACCCGTCTGTGATATCAAAAATAACCCCAAGTTGGGTGCTGGAGAGATGGCTCAGCAATTGAGGACACTCGCTCCTTTTCCGGAGGCCCCAAATTTGATTTGAAGCACCCATGTCGGACCACTCACGAATCATGCCCCGTAACTCCAGCTCCAAGGAGAACCAAGCGCTGGGGCTCTCCCGGCACCTGCGCTCACATGCATACAACCCCCACATAGCTGCACATAATTGAGGATAATAAAAATAGATCTTGAAGAAACTCATGGGAAGTGATTCAAACAGTTTTTCTCGATGGTCACAGTAAAGGGATGCCAACACTATTGATTAGATCAGTGTGATTTTAGCGTGACTGCACCCAACATTGTTACACTTAAAAAACAAGCAGTGTACATCTTTTAAAAAAAATAACAAGATTATTTGTTTTTTATAACATCTTGAAATCTGGTCCCATTTCGCAAGAATTCAGAGTATTCAGTAGACAGACCTAAGCAACAACATGAAAAATATTATTAACCATCACTCCTTTGCAGGAGATTTTCTTAAATGTCTTTTTGCCTATAAACCAACCATCCACAGATCGAGAAATAGTTCTAGCACTGTCCCTTTGCTCCACCATTCTTTTCAGTTCACCCCCAGTCCTCACGACTTGAGGAAACACCAGGGAAAGATTCTACTTCATCCCTAGGTCCGTGGATCAAAGTTTCATCATTCGTGGATCTGTCTTACCTGAGGTACCTTTGGCTCCTTTCTCACCCTTGAGACCGTGCAAGCCGTTCAGACCAGGAGACCCGGGGGGCCCTGAAAACACAACACAGGTTCTGTGTCTCAAAGGTTAGGCCAACTATTGATTACTAGTGTCCCTGGTCTGGCTACAGTATGATGCCTACTCCAGGGGAGAGTGAGCCATAGGGAGGAAGCAGACAGATATCACTGTCTGGAGGTCAGCATAGGGACCAGAGACCGGAAGCCAGCCCGAGAGCTTTTCAGCACCAGCATTTGGTGAAGATGTTTTTTTTCCGATGAGAAGACTTAAGAAATACATTTCTTTGGCTTGTTTTGTGACTAACCCATGATGGGAGACAGTCTAGAGTTGTCACATTTGGGTGCAGGAAGTTACCTTTGATTTGATGATGATTAAAAATCTCTTTAGGCAAGGATAGAGATTGGATGACAGTAAACCCAAGCTCGGTGCTTCCCAGTTTGAGTCTTCTTCACTTCCCCTCAGTGTGTTCTGGTCCTAACTCTTTCTAGATGCAGTCATGGTAATGACGCAAAACAGCAGGATGATTTCTGCCGCGGTGTGTAGGGACAGTCTGTTCTCCTTGGTTTTCAGTTGGGCACTGAACAACACTGGGAAACAGACCTGTGGGGCGGGCGAGCTCAGCTCTAGCTATCTCTCTACAGCTATTCCTTTCAGAATTTCCCTGACACTTCCTTACAGCGATGGACTGACTTTGTGGTGGTCTCTGAATTCAAACCTTATGCCTCCGCTGATGTCGGCACACATGGAATTAGACTAGCCAAGAGGCATTTGAGCTATCTGAAGAGACAACTACCAGCCTGACTTGACTTCAGTTACTCTCAGACACATCCAGTGGAAAGTTTTTCTTAGGGTTCTCCATCAGTAGATGCTGAGCTATATTTAATGTTTTCAAACAAGAGTTTTCTACCAGGCAGGCATGAAGTTGAGAACAGGACTGAGGGGGCGGAGAGGTAATAACTGTTGTAGAGTCCCTCAAGTGTGCAGAGCCCAACCACACGCAGTCCCGTGTGTCTTGCTGTCCCACGTGTCTTGCTGTCCCACTGTGTGATCCTAGAAAGGAAGCTTTCTCAACCTTTGACCAAACCTGATGACCACTGCTGGACTCCCTATCCGCTAGCTGTCCTTTGCCACCCAGAAGGAAGCCATGTTCCACACAGCTCATTCGCCCAGATTAGCATCCTATTGGTTCCTGACAACACCACACCAATCTCACGTGACCAAATGCACAGGAAGTGCCCATGGTCCCTCCGTAGGGTTCCTTGGATGGATTGCCTCTGCCAGGCTGTCCAACAACCATACCTTTGGGCAGCTGCCTCCCTGGCTCAAGGGTCAATCAGACCCCATGACCAGACTCTGCTAGTCTTTCTATTCCCATAAGGAACATAGTTTCTACACCTCACAAGTATCGAGCAGATGCTTGTTGACTCATTGTAAAAGTAAAGAAAGGAGGATGAGGGTTGACGAGATAGAGAGAAGGCTTTGTTTAAAGAGTAGACTACAGTTTCTAAACTCTGCCTGCCTGCCACGTTTTTTTCTACTATATTTGTGGAACAAATACAATTCCCAGAAGTTAGAGATATCTTCCTATGGGTAAATAATTCCAGTGCTGGTTCCACTTTGTTCGGTAAAGCAGGTTCTCATGGAGGATCCTGATTGGAGGACGGCATAGTTATTGACTCCAATCTGTTTATCATCGGTACTTGAAACAGACAACCGGTGTTCTCCTTCTAAGATGGCAAATTTATATTGATTCAAATGAGCCACGTTTTCTTGCACTGAGAAAAAAGGTGGGGAGGGATGTGTCCTTATTTTCCCCAAATCTCTTATTTTCTAACTGCTTTTCACAGCCCTGGCTTAGCTTGTTTTCCAGTTCTCTTTCCTATTTTATGAGCCAGTATTTCAAGTTTGCACCAAAAGAACACAGCGACCTTCTTCGCCTGCCAAATCTGGATATTTATTGCAATCTATCTAAAATGATAATAAATTTTTCGAGACTACTTTGCTGTCTATGTGTTTTGATCTCCAGCGTTAGCCACTCAGATTGATGTCTAGGGGACTTGGCTAAAGAAGGACTGTCCTAGCCTCTGCCAACTCTCCATTGTCACATCGACATACCCAGATCCTAGGCTGTCACAGCCCAGCCCCTTGCCATTGTTGAACTGGCCGACCCTTACGTGACCCAATGTTATCTTTCTAAATTGAATGCAGCTACATCTGGGCAGGGTTTTCAGCATAATTTCCCCCTTTGACTGAAAGCTTTTTATCAATCCCATCTCTAAATCAGAAAGTTGTTCATGCATAAAATATATACAGTGCAGATGAAGGGCAATTAGGCAAACAAAGCACATTCCTGGGTAATGAGGAATTTTTATTCACCTCTCTGATAGGCCTTCTGTTTAACAGCCACCATTTAAGGCTGCACCCGGCTGCACTCAGGGACCAGGATGCTCATGCTCCAGTCAGTGAAGCTAACCTCCACCCTAGCACATGGTATCGTCCCTCTGTGTTAGGGAGTCCATTCAGTGCCAGAATCCCCACTCCCAGATTATAGCTTTGTTAGAAAGCCAGTAAAATGTTATTCTGTACTCCCAAGGCACTGGCAGGGCTTACATTTTAACAGGGTGACCAATGTTCCCCTGAATGTCTGGGACCTTTAGCACTGGAATCCACATCCTAAGGCAGTCCCAGGAAAACTGAGGCCGCTGGCCACACTCACTTTAAGGTTGATGGATGAGAAAAATCTTCACAGCTATAGGCAAAGGTTGAAAAGCCTTGAAAACCCTTATCAAGAACAGATTCCAAAATAAGATTTAAATTAAAAGTATTTTTTCTACATGAGTGCCTACTGAAAAGATAAATATGGCTTCCTAATGCACAGAGTTCCGTCTCCCAAGAGCATAGCTCCTGACAGGCGCTGAAGAGACAATGAGTCATAATCCCTGACCTGACAGGACAAAGAAGCAATGACATCCAGTTTGCTAAGTGCTGGGGTGAGAGACAGGAGAATAATTTAGTTCCAGAAGCTGGGGAGAATGTTGCTCTGATTGTCATGGCTCTCTGATGGAAGGCATTTTCTTTCTCATCAAAGGCATTTGATGGTATCTTCCAAAAGTGAACTCCTGGGGCCAGAAAATGGCTCAGTCAATGCAGGGCTTGCTATATAAGGATGAAGGCCTGTATTTCATCCCCAGTGCTCATGTGTTTAAAAAAAAATCTGGGGGCATGTCTGTAACCCCAGCACTGTGGGAGCTGAGACAGGTCGATCCCGATAGCTCACTGGCCAGCTATGGTCCAATCTGAGCTCACTGAGGCCAGCAGTGGTCCAGTCTGTCACTCACTGAGCTCCAGGTTCAGCGAGTCTCCCAGTTAGTTTTGTCAACCTGACACAAGCTGGAATCACCTAGGTAGAAGAACTTTTTTAAAAAAGAGATCTTGGTCACTAAATAAATAAATAAATAAATAAGTGAAAAACAGCCAAGGAAGACACCTCTGACCTCTGATCTCCACCTGCACCCAGGCACAAGGGCAGACGGACACAGATGCACACTCCTCTCCACAAACAGAAAAGTGAAGGATGCTGTTTGCCACCAGCCAGGACCACACAGCAGATAACTCTCAGCAGGTTTTCATCCTCCTTGTGTTGTGTGGATGTACAAAGGCGGTGTTTCCCTTTTAGAGAAAGAACGTACTTAGGAGCCAAAGCCAGTGATCACGCCGCTTGTATCGTGTGTCTAAGTTAACGTTTAATTCTGACTGGACACAAGCAGGACTCAAAAAATCCGTACGGTCTGTGTGCGCAGAGCAAACAAATCAGAGTTCAGCAGCTGGTTTGTTCAAAGGAGAGAGCTGGTTCCCCTGCCTCACTCAGAGCATACTTCAAATATTTAGTTTCTCTGTTCAAAGTGTTTCTGCTGGATCCTGCTTCATTTTTTACATCGACACAAAAACCGGCAACAATGGATTTATGTTGAGATGTTTTGAGTTTTAACAATGTATCCCACTGTTTTGTTTTGTTCCGTTTGGCTGGATCATTTACTGTGTCGTGTGCAGTGAAACAGCGTCCCCGAGTGGTCTGCAGAGGGAGTAAAATGCCCCTTGATCTGTTTCCTCCCAAAGCTTCTCAATGCACAACATTGGGAGGCAATTGGCAACTCCTTTAAAGGAATTTCATTATGAACCAAGTTCACACCCATTAGTTGCTTTTGTGTGTTTCTTTTTTGAAGCCATGTCATACTGAAGGTATCTGATAAATTTTCAAAAGGGAAGGAAGAACATATTACAGCCACCTGCAGGCACTCAGACATGCTCCCTGTTGTGTGGAATTGAAAGGCCGTGGAGTGAGAGCCCTTAACAATGGTAAATGTTTTCTCTTGGATCCCTAGCAAGTCCTTCCAGACTGGAAGAATGTTGAAGTCAAAGAAGAGGCCAGGAGGTCTGCAAGGGTTGCCAGAGGCAGGAAGTGTCCACAAGCACCAACCAGAGGAACAGCTCAGAACCACGGCCTCATCATTTCGTGTGAAATGTTAAAGCTGTCACACGTCTGGTTTTCCCATTACTACAAATGTCAGCAGAGATGGAGACGGTACCAAGAGATCGGATGTCCTAGCAAGAACTTTTGCCGTTATGTTATTTGGTTGGAAGCAAATGCTTGAGTGTGCCGGAAACTTCCAAAGGAGGACTGTCCCTGTCTGCAGCTTTGCACCAAGAAACACACCCTGCGCTGCTGCTTGTGACACACTGCAGATCTCGGATAGCTGAGGAGTGAGGAGCAGAAAGGATGAGAAAAAAAAAAACAAACGGAATTTGGATTTTCAAATCAACACAGCATTTAATTTCAGGAGTGGTTTCTAACTCTTCTCGGGGGAAGTCCTTTCATTTTGACTAGTGTTTAATTTATGTGGATAAGCCACTGACCTGCAGACAGCTGGGACCAAAGGAAGGAAAGTGGAGCCAGAGGGACGTAACTTACCAGAGTGTGCAGAGGAAAACTTGGCCCTCGCCTGCTGTTTGAACTATAGATCCCCGACTTTCTAACTACGAATTCACCAACCAAAAAGTTTGTTGTGTATCAGTTGGTACTGAAGACATTTTTTTGAAAAGGTCTTGGTTTTTAAAAAATCACAATCTGTTGGTAAGAAAGTCCTCTGCAGGTGTTGTTCTAGAAGTGTGCACAAAGCACACGGACAGAGTGTTTATCTAGAACAGGAGGAGTGGACCAATGAGAGGGAAGGAGACAGGTGAATGTAAGGACATGAATGCTGTGGAATAATCCTTCTGTACACCGTGAAAACGTGTTGCTCTCATTGTTCATGAAAAGCTGACTGGTCGATAGCTAGGCGGGATTTTAGGGGCAGAGAGAATGCTGGAAAGAAGGGCAGAGTCAGAACAGGTCACCAGGAGATGGAGAAGGAACAAGACATGCTGGAGGACAGGTAAAGCCATGAGCCATGTGGCAATATATAGACTAATAGAAATGAGTTAATTTAAGTTGTCAGGGCTAATTAGTAATAAGCCTAAACTATTGGCCAAGCATTTATAACTTACATTCTCTGTGTCGGTTATTTGGAAATCAAACTAATCACAATACTGATGAAAAACTCTGCCTACCCATGAATATTTGTGAATAGTGAGTATTCTGAGCTGTACCTTGTTATAGTATATCCAGACAAATAATCAGACCACTGTTAACTTTAAAAGCCAAAAACTACAGTCAGGACAAGTGTTTCTGTATACAACAAAGAAAGCAAATAGAATTGTATGTGTATTCATCTTCTGGAAAGCCCTCTTGTCTTCCCACCCCATGATCAGTACACGTTTATTGATGCAGACAAATTCCTAAAAGTCTGCCCGCTTCAGTGTCCACCACTCTCCTATAGCTGAACGTTTTCTTAATCAAGACCCACAGTGTTGAAAACATTTTTATTCTTTTCACTGTGCTTTGAGTTCACATAATAGACTAACAACAGAGTTAAAAGCCGTGCTTCTAATTTTATCTACAAAAATGGAGCGTGCCCTATATGCTCTATAAACGGGATGGACAGAGATATAAACAGATGCTTATGATATCCTGCAACTCAAGAAATGGGCATTCCCGCAATTCTAGGTTTCTAACCATACCTAATGCCTGAAAAGCTGAATGACTACCAAGCCATTTCTGTTAGTTTAAGGACAGCTGGGAACCCGAGTGCCACCCTCCTTCCACTGTGTGCCTACCATACCCTTCTCAGAGTTAGGTGAGCGACCCCAGGGCCTCTGGGAGTTCTCTTTCTTTCTCACCACCCAATGGATCTGCTCTATCCAGCAAGTAATTTACCCACAGAGTTCAAGACTGATTCTAAAGGTGTTTGCTTTCGCTTATTTATTTGTTTGTTTATTATAAAGGTATTTATAATAAGATGAATACAGATAAACATGCCTTAAATTCTGAAATTTTTCTTTTGGGAGTATAGGGGATCACTACCTAATGCCTCCCTTACCAGTTCGCAGGGTTCAAATGCTTGCCAGCTCTGGTGCTGTGGTTTGGACATGGTTTGTGTCTCCCCCAGGGTTCGTGTGTGAAACTCTGACTCACATGTTAGGCATTAGGAGAGTAGACACTTAATCTAATTGCTCTCACATTAAGAGGCCATTCCTAGCTCTTTTAGGAATAGCTCCGTGAAGGCTGGAATCATACATATTTTCTTTAAAATGACACCCAACACTTAACACAGAATCTAGGGCATCAAAGGAGCTTGATTATCAGTGGAGGCAATGGGGCAGGCGTGCGCAGCAAGACGAGCACCACGCCCTCAGAAGCAATAGGAGGGGAGCACCAAGACCCAGGGTGAAGAAGGCAAGCGAAGATGGGTGTGGCCCCAAGCCGTGGAAAAGGGGAAGGTTACTGGTGGAATCCTTGAGAGATTCCTAATCAAGCAGAGCCACAAGCCCAGGAAAGGGACAATGGCTTTGCCCTCAGTGGGCTGGGGGTCTCTGGAAGACTGGGTATTCTTCCTACTTACCTTTTACTCCCAGAGGACCTGGCCTTCCTAAATCTCCCGGGAAACCTCTTGGCCCAGGCTCTCCCGTTTCTCCTGGGTGGCCCTTCAACCCAGGCATCCCTGGGTCACCTGGGGACAGGAGAGAAGATTTCCAGAGAGTGACCATAAGTAGCATTCCCTATGTAAGGCCACCTATGCCTTTTAACAGACAAGTGACCAGGGACACTTTTTCTTTCTAGATACTTTTAGCTCTAAGGAGACAAATGCTTAATTTCAGAAAGATACACTTTGAAACAGATGAAGCTGCCAATCATGAGTTTAGCTGTTTTGGGTTTTTTTCCCCTTCCTGAATTGAAAGGAAAAGGATTGTTAAAACCCTGAGCTGTATATGGGTTATTGCTTTAGGGAAGGGAGACAGCCTCAAAAATGACAGAGGAATAAGAGGAAATGGCCTGCCTGTTCTGTCAGCCACCTTCTGTGCCTCGTGCAGAGCTGGCACTTAGCCAACGCTGCTTGAAGTAAAGTCGTTAGTGCAACCCTGTGATGTTGGACTGGGTTTGGGCAGTGAAGAGGCAAGTGTGCATGCCCTGTCCGGAGGTATGGTCAGGGAGGCAGAAGTCTCTAAGCAAAGAACCACTCTTTCCAGTACACCAAGTCGCACAAATGCTCAGGAATTTTCAAGGCCTTCTTGCAAGGTACCTGGATATCCTGGTGGTCCAGAAGAGCCAGGTTGTCCAGGTCTGCCTGGTGGTCCTCTTGGCCCAACACCTCCAGGAAAGCCTTTCTCTCCAGGGTCCCCAGGATGTCCTAAGGAAGGAAGGAAGGAAGGATCAAAATCCCATTAGGTGTAGATTGCTCTTTGAAATGGCAGCTAATGGCCAACTTCAAGCCTCACTCAGTTGTGGTTTGTTTGTTTGTTGTTGTTGTTGTTGTTGTGTTTAAACTCTTTTCGATTGGTAAAAAGACATGATTGAAAAAACTTTGATGAGGAAATTCCCATATTCCTCCTCACATCTTACCACAGAATTCCATCTGGACACCCACTTCAAGTAACCCCCATAATTTTATTTTCTGTTTTTAAAACTAGTACTGTATCACAAGCAGTTTTCCAAACTTGTCATAATTTATCATTTGCAAATAACTTCCTGATTCAATCTTATTTAAACTAATCAATCTCATTTCCCCTACCACTGGCCATGCAAGTACTTCTAATTCTTTTCGTTGTTGTGCATAGTGATTATACATATATAATCTTTTATTTATTCTTTGACAATTTCCCACGTGTATGCTTTGATCATACTAACCCGCTTCCCACCCCCCACTCTCTTTTATAGATCTTTAACCATGTTCTCTCCTTTTGAACTATTTCCTTAGGAAAAATGTCTCAGGCACAGAATTTCTTGGAAAATAGTGTGATATTTGGGTTTTTCTAAAGTACATTTTTAAATTCTAAAGGATTTTAAAGTAAAACATAACCATTGTGAAATTCCATCCTGAAATGCTTCAGAAGGTAAGCCTGAAAAATAAATCTTCCTATGTTGCTGAAATAACACTGTGGCAGCCAAGATAATTAATAATCAGTCCCAAAGATCATCTAAGGCTCATTACAGTCACAAATCCACTCCTGCCCTGTTGTGCTTGTACCAACCTTCACTAAATTCTACACCTCACAATTCTGCACACTGTGCTCAACGGGCCTCTTAAATTAAAAAAATAAAAGATAAAAAATTAAAGTCTCTAACAGTCCCTTTCTCATGACCATAACTTCCCACGGAGAAGATGTTGGCTGCCCTCTATGCCTCCTAGCATAGGCCATTCAGCATCTGGTTCTTGACAGGTTGCCTGTGTTTGGAAGAAGGCACTGCACCTGCTGCCACCACCCATGTGTCACCTACCCACAGCCCTACAAACAACACCCTGAGAATGAACCATCCTCTCACTGAAGACTTTGGGTTGGTAACCCTGTTTTTGGTAATTTGCAACTACCCTGGAGGGTCTAACAGGCCTCCTCTATCAGGAAGGGTCTTCCTCTTCAACTGAGTGTGCAGGGCAGATGCACAGTGGTTCGTTCTCTGAGCATCCTTTAGGCCTTTGGTGTCGTACTGGGACTGCTGAGGCAGCTAGCCTAATGGACTGAGAAGCTACTGAAGTTTCAGACCCTCCAGCGATCAGGTAGCCAGACTGCCCACACTCTCCTGTGTAAGTCAATCACATAAATCCTTTTTTTTGTAATATAATATTATTACATAATACATGCGTATTATTATAGTGTAATAATATATAATCCATTGATTTTATTCCCCTAGAGAACCCTGATCGCACTTTAAGTTGTATTTATTTTATTACTAGAAAGATGGCTATTTTCCCATACGCTTATTTACATGTGTAACTTGGACTGAAATTTATAGTGAACCAATAGTCTATGCTGAAAAATCGATGGCTGAATCTTCAAATAAAATATACACCTTTGCGTTTCCAAAGCCATAGAGGGGTAGCATTCATTACAGCACTGAACTAACTGATGTCTGTGCCTGCTGACGGATCGCATTTACTGTCCTATAGCCCTGCTCTGTGGTTTCTGATCGGTCCCAAGCACTTTCCTGCAAGGAACCCACGGCATCATCGTTGTCAGTTCCAGCTGCGAACGCAGGTATTCAAACCTTCATCCCCAAGCTTAAGCTTGTGTTGAGAACAGAATTTCAGGAATAATTTGCACTCTATTTCCCTCGGAGTTGAAGTGCGTGGATGGGGTTAGAGTTGACCCAGGACAATCTTACATAATCCGGGACCAAGCTACACTCTATACATCCTTCCTGAGTTCACTCCAGGGCAGCGTGAGAATTCCGAGCCAAGGAAAACAGAGGATCCAAGCTCTGGGCTGATGAATAACAGAACAAGTTTTTTAAAACTCTAAGTTGAAGCCATGACAAATAAGAAACCAAAGCAATTTAAACACTGATAACCACAGGACATCAGGTCAAGCCGGGCAAGGCACAGTCTCTGGAAAAACCTGACTCAGTATAAATTAACCTCAGATTTAGGGTTTTCAACTTAAAATGCCCCTAGTCTGTGCCATCTGTGCTACTTTGAGCCTGGAAGTTTTATGTCACCAGAGCTTTATGATAAAAGTTGCCCAGACGCACAAGAACACATCTTACTGTTTGGCTGACTTCACTATTGGGAAGTCATCCGAGCTGACTCTGTGTGTGGAGTTTTCAGTGCACAAGCATCAGACAGTCTAGTTTGGAAAACAAAACATAGCCCCTGCCAAGTGGAACTTCAAGGTGATGCGTGGATGTCCTAGTTAGCTTTTGTGTCATCTGGGAAGAGGGAAGTTCAATTGAGAGAAAGTCTGCATCAGATTGTCCTCGTAGGCAAGTCTGTGGAGCATTTTCTTGACCGATGATTGATGTGGGAGGAACCAGGCCATTGTGAGAGGTGCTACTCCTAGGCAGGTAGCCCTGAATTGTGTAAGAAAGTAGGCTGAACAAACCATGGAAAGCAAGCCAGAAAGCAGCGCTCCTCAGTAGCGTCTGCTTTGCTTCCTGCCTCCAGATTCCTGCCGTGAGTTCCTGCCCTGACTTATTTTCCTGTTGGACTGCAAATCATAAGATGGAATAAACTCTTTTTCTCCTGACGTTACTTTTGGTCATGGCGTTTTTCACAGCGATAGAAAGCAAAATATGACAATAGCTTTCTAAATACAAAGTCTTAGTTTATGGGGCAACTATGTGAAGCCAAGCCTAGATTTAAGTCTAACCATCACTGACGGATGGCACTTGGGCATAAGTGACTTAATCAGCCACCTGTAGGTAGCCGTTCGCTCTGTCCACGCAGTGTATACACCTGCCAGTGTATCTTTTGCACTCTCCTGATTATTAGCTTCAGATATGCTCCTAGGAGAAGAATTCCTGTGTTAGGGAGCAAGAACATTTTAAATATTGGTACATTTTTCTACAGGGCCCAAACCAAAGTGCAGACTTGAACTTACCTTGTTTACCCGTGTGCTCCTTGCTATCAGTGAGAGAAAGGCTTCCAGGGGAGCTTGGGCCATTTTAAATGACACAGATGGCAAAAATAGTCTGAATTTTAATTTGTGGAATATTCACTTTGAATATCCAATATGAGTAGGCAGAAGGGAGTGTGTTGCTGTGCCAATGGTATTGGTAACCGGAGCCATTGTGGGAATACACTGAGGGCTCCTGGTGCCTGGTCTTGGTATACTTCTGGGTGAAGGATGCCACCACAATGCCAGAATTGTTTTGGCACATACATTAATGGGCACATGGTAAAGAAAATATTGATAGGATAATTTCCAGTTATCACTGTAAAAGGAATTACATTGTGTTTCAAGCTAAGTCTTCTTTCTTACAGTAAGAAAAATCTGCATCTCTACCTTGGTATCCAGGACTACCAGGCTCACCCTTCGGACCAGAAGGACCACGCTGACTGGCAGGGTCACCTTTGCTTCCTGTGAGTGATACAATACCAAGAGCGTTAGTTAGAAAAATACCGTTTGGCTTCATATAGGTAACTTTCCATGGTACTTGTCTTCATAATCTAGCTTCAGGTTTTCCTGGGGACTTTTTAAAAATTATGTTTTCCCTAATGAAGAACAATAGAAATATAAATAGAAGGTGTGATTTATGATTTTTAAAAGGTTGACACCATGTATATGACTATTTGGCCTACGTGTGTGTGTGTGTGTGTGTGTGTGCTGTGAATGTGTGAATATCTGGTGCCTGTAGGGGTTACCAAGCCAGTCAAATCTCTCAGTGTTGTATGAACACTTCAGTATATTTGCTTCAGTATAACTTCAGTATATTTGCTTGCTTGTCTGTTCAAAAGGTAAATAAAACTTCTCTTTTTACAAGGATCCTGACTTGTTAAGATCAGTTCAATTCATTTGGATTTACAAGGCCATACAGTTATGAGCACAAGGTAGGCTCAGGCCTATTGGACCAGCCAGCAGCTATTTTACAAATAAAGTTTTATTGGAATGTCCCTGAGTAGTTGCGGCTGAGACTAAACCCCACACGCTAAAAAGAAATAACTTATGATGCTTCAGAAAAAAGAAACTTTTTATCTTTAGTTAAGGGTAAAAATAATTCAATTATAAGTTACATCTGGCTTGAGAATTCTTAAGCAAACAGTTAACATCTGGTGGGGATTTATGTTCAAGTAGAATCCCAATAACTGAACAGAGGAAATCTATAAATGAGTGGCTGGTTCCTAGGGAGCACAGGGTTTCTGAGTCAAAGTGGACACTCTCTAGAAATGATGATTTGGCCGGTTGTACCGGCTGCAACTGGAGAAGTGGTCTACATGGACAGCTTCTGAAACTTTCACAGAGAGGAAGGCTCACGATGAGCCTGCAGGGATCCCATCTAGGGGCCGTTGTCCCTGGGTGGAAAATGAGAGCCCTTGGAGCTTCAGTGGTCCTCTGCTGGGAAGGGTCGCTGCTGGATTCTAACTAGTGTGATGAATCTCATCACTGAAAAAGATGCACACTCTCAGGGTTACAACTCCCAGAACTCTGAGCTTGGCAGCTATGAACATTTTCTAAGTCATACCTTTAGGTCCTCTTGCTCCATCATCTCCTGAGAATCCAGGGGGACCTGGAGAACCTGGATCACCCTGGTAATGAATGGAACCAAAATAAGACCCTAGTTGGGTTTTCCACGCAACGGCACAAACACGCTGCGGTTTTCTGCAGTCAACTTGGTGTTTGTGATTGACAACGGTAAGGAAAATGCAGGAAAGTCCTTCAGGGATACTACCTACTGTGTCTGTGTTTTACAAGCTGGTGAAACTCCTACAGAACTAGAGCTATCCATCACAGCAAGAAGCATAGTATTGTATATAAATGATTACCAAAGGCTATCCGTGTCCTACTATTGGAATTTATAGTTTGATATAATCAGTTGACATAAAATAAAATATTGAAAGTTGTGCTGTAGCATAAATTTTAAAGATCCATTTTACTCCGAAAGATGGAAAGCCAACCACTTTATACATTTTCCAGAAGTGTGTTACAAGCTACTTCGTTATATTTTTTGGTTTCTCAAGAGGAATGTTACTCATGATTATGAAGGCCAAGTACATTTAAAGTGAAATACATAAAATATTCAAACAGATGGGAAGGCTTGGAAACCAGAATTTGGGTAGAGTTCAGGATTTTTTTTTCCCCAATAAAGCATCAGTCAAGAGGCAAGACTCTACATGTTATTTAAACCTGGGCTGGAATGTGTGAAATCACATGATTTGCTCATCTACAGCCGCACAGCCAGTTCTGAGCACTAGTTATGTCATAAGCTTCTGGAAGGCTCCTTACTTTCTTCATGCTACCTGTTACTCTCAAATAATCATAAAGGACAAGGGCACATACTGGCAAATTATGAATTTTTGTGGGATTCTGAAAGCAGAAAGAATTTATTTCTTCCCTCTTATAGGGGCAGCTCCTCACCTGTTCACCTGGAAATCCTGGAAAGCCAATGACTCCCCTTAATCCAGGTGAGCCTGGAGGGCCAGGGGGGCCGGGAGACCCAGGGGGCCCATTTATCCCTGGCTGTCCTCTGTGCAATCCAGGTACTCCATCTCTTCCGGGATCTCCTCTTTCCCCTTGCATCCCTGGGCTTCCTTTATCACCTGTTGAGGTCGGAAGTGTTACAAATCCCTTGCCTGAAATCTTAGACTAAGTGGAGATAATATTGAATGCCTTGGTTCTACTTGTAAAAGGTGAAAACAATGAAATTAGGGGTGTTGGCGTCTGTTCAAAACCACATCTCTGTGGTTTCTGTCTTTGGCAGCCTCACTATGAAAGGAGCTGCCAGAAATAGACACGAGGCCATGTGTAGAAGGATGGAACAGGCAAGGTCATTTGCTACAGGAGACACACCTTACAAATAAAGAAGAATTCAACCCAGAGAAGTTAAAACATTTTCTCCCAATGGCTAGCTAAACAGAAATTCAGAACGTAGCACAAGCAGATTAACCCTGAACTTGAGAAAGAATACAAATTCAGTTGTCAAAAATCCTCACCCTGACACACTGAGGGAACAATGATTGGTCGTAAACTCTGCAATTGGCTTGATAAGCATCTCTTCTAATCATTTACAGTGTGCCTTCCTTTATGATAGAGGCTTCAAAGCCAGAGTCTCTATTACTTCTCTGTAAAAAGAGTGTATGTAATTTGGGTTCTACTAATCAGGTACACTCATGTGAAAATTGCTTTTCAAAATGCAGTCAAGTGGGGAGAAAGGAGGCAATGGGAGAGCCTCCCATCTTGCTGCTGTGGTTCTGAAACAACAGATACGGTTGCCGCTTCCACGTCTCTGTATCACAGCTGAGGTAGTATGCGCCTCAAGTCAAAAGCTGCCACAGAAGATCCCTAATCTCAGGGGTTAGGCTTAGATTATTTGATCCTGCACACAGCTGTCAGGAGCGGGGCATTCTGCTTCTTGATGGTGGTGGAGTAGCAGGCAGCCCGCTGTGACAGCTTTTAGCTGTCCTACTAATCACTCCCAAGCTTAATGCCTGCTCTTTTAGCCTGCCCATGACCGAAAGCACCGGATGATTTGTGTTAAATGTATATGATGCTATAATAGCTAGAGTAATTTGCTATGTACAACTGAAATTTGATATAAATAATGTCCTTGTAGACACGAAAAAAAAAAATCCTCACCCTGCCATGTTTCAGAGGACTAGCAGCGTGGCATCAGGATGCTTTTTAGAAAAATATGGCCCCTGGTAAGCCCAGATCTGTAGATTCAGGATCTGGATTCAAACAAGATCCCTAGGGGGATTTATATACACACTCTAGTTTGAGAGAGACTGATCAGAATGACACAGGCAGCCCCAGATATTCAAACCTGCTTTCCCTAAAAGAGGGGATTTAAGCCTGGAGCCAGTAATCTATGTATACCGTGTCTTGATCCCAGTGTGGAAGATCCAGATCTACAAAGACATATCAACTCCAACTATTTTTAGTGTGGAAAAGTCAACATGTTACTGGAAAAGTTAGCAGGGTGTAATTACATTTAAGAAATGACCTTCCCTACTTTTTTATTAGTGGGAAAGTTGCCTAGCATCCTGGCTTGCCTGAACGATCTATAAAATGCCAACTTATTTGATAAGGTTGAAAAACCTCAAGCATTTACCTCGTGGTCCCGGGAACCCGTCATCTCCTGGCTGCCCAGTTTCCCCAGGCTCCCCCTTTTTGGAAATGATGACTGTTTCTCCTACATCACCGGGAGGTCCTCGGTCTCCTGTAAGTGTTATTTATATGAGAGAAACACAAACACATGCACACTGCACAGGTAATTCATCTCCCACGGCATGATACCTCCTTTATAAAGCCCAGCTGCCTCCACTAGGCTGCATTCAAGGATCCCTCAGTATCAGTCCCAGAGACCGAAAATTTCCTTCTTGTTACCACTTGTCTACCCCTGGGACCGGGATGCAGTTGGTACACTCAGTAAATCTGCTATATTTAACCCAAATATCTCAGGATCCTCTGTGAGTTAAGACATTTGGAATGTCATCACCCACAAGACTACTTGTTTATTCTATAGAAGCTGGATCATCCCACACACCAGTCCAGGGTCCCATACCTTTCTACCCCACCACCCTTCTTTCCCGGCTCCGTCCATTAAAACGATGAACACATATTTCAACCTGGTTCTCCACACGGGGACTTCCAAAAAGTGGGAACTGGGTCACACACCCCAGTTTATGGGGAACCACTGTCCCGCCCCAGTACTGCTGAGACTGGCTTAGTAGACCAGTGTCATGGGAGGGGCTTGTTAAAAGGGACTTCTGTGAATCAGTGGCTATAGCATTAGCAGTTGATATCAGCAGTAGGGAGAGTGTTTACGGTGCCAGGGGCGTATTTACACAATGGTAACTGGCAAGCACTGTGTGTGTGTGGGGGGGGATTTTTCTCAGAGAGCATTCATGTTGGGGGAGTTTGTAACTGCAGCATTAGCCTTGATCCACTGTTTAATTCTCAGTGGAGTGACTAGTAGTGTGACCTGAAGCACCTGCAAATGCCAACTGACTTACATAAAAACATAGGAGATTTTTGATCCTTATCATGTTAAATTCCTTAATTCTGTGTAAATAGTTTGTAAGCTAATAAAACAAGCAAACAAAAAAATAACTACAGAATCAAAAAAAAAAAACAATGAGAAGAAAGGGTCATTTGAATAAAACTGGAGGCCTTTTTGCCAGAGAACTTGAAGAGTTGGAAATGCTCCTTCCAAAGACTGTCAAGCATTGATTTTACTGCTAAAAAAACGCTACTTCCTCTCCTGCAGCAGCAGCTGAGAGACCGAAGGAAGCGGCTATGCTGTAAATGGTTAGGGGGAGGGGGGCAGAATTCAAAACTTGAAACCCCGAACAATATTTCATAAAAATTACATACAGATCAAATGTCATTGTCCACAACTGAAATTTTGTTGTGACGTTCAATTTTATCTTGATTGTGTGTTGTCTCTGGTGGTTTCGTGTGCCAAGGCCAAGGTGTATGTCTTACAGATAGTGACCACCAGGAGAATAAGGGCTCTGAAGCCCTGTGTTTATAAATCAATGCATTAAGGGCATCTCCGACATGAGAGTATTCATTTACCTTAGTTACGTGTGATAAGATTGCAAGGCAAGGAAAATGAATTCCTAAGACATCATAGAACCTGTTATGGTTTTCGGCTCTTTAAGAGACAAGCCACGCCCACTCCCGGCGGCCCCTCCCTGCCACCGCCGTCTTAGATCACTTACTGTCCTCTATTGGGGCGCACGAATCTCCCTGCTTCCCCTCTTCTCTACCCCTTTCCTCCTCTTTTTCTCCTCTCCTTCTTCCCCCACACTCTCTCTCTCCTTTAAGTAATAAATATCCGATTCTATTCTGTACAATGTGTCTGTCCCTGTGCCTTCCTTTTACCCTCTGCCTGGACCGGCTGGCCTCAAGGCTGGAACGGCAACCAGCCCACCCAGCCGCAAGCCTCTCTCCGGGACCACCGCAAACAAAAATCATAAAAGAACCAAAGACCAAAGAAATCCAGAGACATATGAGTAACACTTAACCAAACCGTGGGAACAAGCTCCTGCAGCCCTCCATCCCCGTGTTGTTAAATCCACTTGCCTTTGGCACCTTTCTCTCCCACGTCTCCCTGGGAGCCAGGCCAGCCCTTCTCTCCAGTTTCTCCCTTTCTTCCAGGTTGTCCATCTGGGCCTGACCTTCCTCTCTCTCCTGGAAAACCAGGGTAGCCAGGTGGCCCTGGGTGTCCTGGTCAAATGAGAACATGGAATTTTAGGGAAGCCCTTTGAGGCTAGTGTGGTTCTTTCAGGTCCCTGGTCATCCAGTGGTATAAATCTCTGCCCAACATTTTATGCCGAAAGTAAGGTATTAATTTGAGTCTGACTCTGGTCTCAAACATCCATGCTTTCCTACCCACTCCTATTTCCCTGACCTATAGACCTAATGTGTATACACTGTTGTTCTGCGGGTCTGGACCCCACCACGTTTTAAGAGCACCAAGAGAAAGGATGAGGCCAGAGGGCCCATCAGAAATGAAATGTGTTATCCCTGACCTAGTGATATCATGGGTGCTGCCTGGTCCTGTGAGCTGGGGTGCCTCGTCCTGTGAACCCCAACACGCCCCCAGGACTTTTCTCAATTTACCCACACCAGAACATTCTGTCACTAGAAAGGCTAACACAGAGAAGAAAGAGCAGGGCCAAGCTAAGCTAGCAAACACATTCTGTTGGTGTAAGTCTTGCCTAAGAAGGTTCGTGTGGCAGTTGATTTGGAGTTGATGAGACTGGGAGAATTTCTGGGAGAGCTCTACTCACCCTTTGGGCCTGGAAGGCCAGGTGGGCCATCGTCTCCAGTGGGGCCTGGAGTCCCAGGAGGCCCTCGGAAACCATCTGCTCCTGGGAGGCCTGGGAGGCCTGGGAGGCCCTTCATTCCAGCTGGTCCAGAAGGCCCCATGTCTCCTGACTGGCCTTTCCAACCTGGGGCCCCTAAGACAAAGCACAATAGCCCTGAGGCTGGAAAACTTAAAACTGTCTTCAAGCATTCACAGGAAAAGCACATTCTACAGAGCTTAAACCTGTGGCACATGAAACAAGAGAAGAACAATACTAATCAGTTAAACTGACAGGAGCAACTCTACATCTGCCTAAAAACATGTTTTACTGGATATTATGAAAAGGGGAGCAGAGATCAGCTGAATATTATCCCCCTTAAAGGATGAAGATTGTAGTTTTCTCTTTTTAAAAATATAAAGACACAAAGATGAAAACCAAAGACTGTATATATATAAAAAAGTATATATATATATATATATATATATATATATATATGCTCTAAAAAGAGAAGAGGAGGAAGAAGAGGATGAGGAGGAGAAGGAGGAGGAGGAGGAGGAGGAGGAGGAGGAGGAGGAGGAAGAAGAAGAAGAAGAAGAAGAAGAAGGAGAAGAAGAAGAAGAAGAAGAAGAAGAAGAAGAAGAAGAAGAAGAAGAAGAAGAAGAAGAAGAAGAAAGTTTCCCAGAGCTCTCTGAACCTTAGCCCCAGTGAACTTCAGTTAGACTGTTAACTATGGTGAAAGATTTGTACAAATCAGAACAGCCAGAGTGACAGGCGCTTGAGATGAGGTTGTAGTAGGAAATTCTGTCCCAAACCTGCCTGGCTTCTCAAGTGGACATCTTGCATTTGGATTAAAGCAAGAACAGATACATTACAGAATGAATGACCCCCCCCAACAAGAAAATGAAAAAGAAAAACTTCATTTTTTTTCTTCATTATTTGAAGTGGAGATAGCCCCTGCTGTGGGCTGAACGTGTCTCCCCAGACTTCTAGTGCCGAATCTTAACCACCAATGGGAGAGGATTAGGGGTAGAGAATTTTGAAGATAATTAAGTGTGAATGTAAGAGAGGTCAGTGGTAGCTTGTGCAAGGACACTAGAAAGTGTCATCTGTGCAGAAGAGGTCCTCACCAAATATCAGAACTCCTGGGGTCTTGATCTCAAACGTTCTAGCCTTCTTCTAATCAATTTCTGTTGCTTAGAAATCACTCAATCACAGGCATTTTGTGATAGTCAGCCCAGGGGACAGGAGGAGCCCCTGAGCCCCCGTGTGAGAAGACATACACTCATTCTTGAGCCAAGAATGTCAGGTCCTGGTCATCACCCGGGGCACCTCCCAAGGCCATGCTTGCAGGAATAGCCTTGACAGCTGGTGCTGCACTTTCCTCAGGATGTAAAGCAGGTCCGCTTGAAGGCTGCCGAGAAGCGGTGCTTCCTAAACTTGCATATATTGCAACCCACCCTATGTGCAGTCACTAGCCGGGTCCATACATGCAGCCTGACAAGAATTTGGTTGGGGAAATGATACAGACCAAGATGAAATTCGTGAATGAAGGGTATTTTTACCTCTGACTCACGCTTCTGCTGACAATCATACATGAATGAGAGGCAAGTTTCCCGACTGTAAGGAGGGAACGCCCAGACGCTTCATATTTTGACACCTGCTGGCACTTACCTGGACTACCAGGAGCTCCAGGGAGTCCTGGTTGTCCTGGGGTCCCTGGAGCACCTCTTTCACAGGAATGGCCAGGGGGTCCTGGGATCCCTGGAAACCCAGGACTTCCCTGTCTGCCTTTGGGACCTTTGAGACCTGGAAATCCGGGCTTGCCAGGTGGCCCTGAAACGATAATGCATTAAGGACATTCATGAGTCCGCACTGTACAGGGTGCCTATAGCCTCCCTCAGGCATGTCAATTCTAGAAACAAACAATTTGATTCTGACTCTGGGCTCCATGAGCTAACACGCGGAATGAATTTTCATATCATAGATACAGCTGCAAGTGAGTATGAAAACCACGCCTTGCTAAGGGAGTTCCTTGATAAGCTGGTGGATGAAGAGGTTACTGAGGGCAACAAGTGACCATAGGCTTTCCTCATTCTCTCACCCTCCACCTCTGGAGCAGATTGCACCCAGATATAGAAGATGCACCTGATGCGAGCTGTGTGAATGTGCATTTGGTAGAAGGTCTTGTCAGCTATCCTTTCAAATTTCTATGGAACTTCTGTGGAGTCTGTTAAGACTCAAGCCTCCCTGCTAAGCCCCTGAGTGGCCAGACCTCACATTGAACTATCTGCCTTGGTCTGGCACTGGCAGTGACAGGTTCCCCAGCCCTTGCTGTCGATGGCTTTTGGAGCACACACATAGCCTGGCTAGAGCTGAGTGGATTAATTCACCATGGCCCAGCATTTGCAAACATGCATTAAGGGCACTGGTACACAGGTGTGTGTGTGTGTGTGTGTGTGTGTGTGTGTGTGTGTGTGTGTGTGTGCAGGTTCATCTGATGTGATCAGTCCCCATTTGTAATCATAAGATAAATGTCCATGCAATCGCTGACTAAAGTGCTACAGTATACACGTTCTTTCTGGATCAGGTCAAAGTTGAGCAGACTTCCTCCAACAGACAACAAAGACCTCATACCTTCGAACCCTGGGCATCCTGGGTAACCTTTGCTTCCTTTCATGCCTGGCACTCCTGGAAGACCCCTATCTCCAGGGGGTCCTGGGTCACCAAACGAAGGGTCTCCTGGGATTCCTCTCTGGCCATCCATTCCAGGAGACCCAGGTGGACCTGGGGGTCCACTAGGGGAGCTCCCCTTTTCACCTCCAATGCCTGGATCTCCCATGTCACCACGTAAACCTATTTAACAACAATAACAAACAGCTTTATGCACAGATATAAGTTCCACAGTATAAGGACAATGCTTTGATTAAAAACCATAGGCAAGCTTAAGTGGTACCTAACATTTCTAGGACTTTAGAGACTCAATAGGTAATATTCTTTTGCCACTCTATAAGTAACACCAATTGTTATTTATTGTTGCTGTTTTGTCTTTTTAAATTTTTTTATTTATTATTTATTGATGTGTGGAGGCAGACAGGCACACATACAGAGGTCAGGGGACAACTTGTAAGAGACCCAGGGATGGAACTCAAGTCATAGAACCTGATGGCAAACAAATTTTACTCACTGGGCCAGCCTACCATCCCCCTTCTAAAAAATTTTTTTTTCTTTTATTGGTTTATATTTTTGAGACAGGGTCTCACTCTGTAACCTAGGCTGCCCTGGACCATCGTAAATATCCCAGGATAGGCTAAAACTCAAGGTGATTCTCCTGCCTCCACATCTGGAGTGCTGGGATGACAGCTGAGTGCCACTATGCCAGCCTCCTGACCACCCAGTCCAGACACTGCTCTGAACTGTGTCAACCACACAGTGATCATGTGACTGCCGGCAGCTAAGGATTCCCCTAGGAAGGGGTCTCAGCTGCATAGGATTCTGTTCATCTACAAGATGTCACAGTTCAGCTGAGGTCTATGTCACCTCCCTGCCCCCAAAGAATCATCCCTCCATTATCTCTAGATCCCTTGCCGTTTCCTTGTGGGTGCTCATCTTTAGGAATATACAGAAATTCCTGATGAAATGCTCCCAAGGCAGAGAAAACCTTTACTTACCAGGTGGACCTGGAATTCCAGGGCTTCCTGGTTTGCCTTGCTGGCCTTTCTGCCCGTCTGGGCATATCATACCTGGAGTTCCAGGGGGCCCTGGAAACCCCTTCCGACCTAAACAAGAACAAATAAAACAAAGTTTTAATTGCACAAAAAGAAAAACAATCAGGAAAAACAACAACAACAAAAAGGATTTTGAAATGTCTGTTTTGTCTTTGGAGTATGTCAATTTTATGGAGGTAGAAAGGTTTGCTACAGAATAACATTCTGTAACCATTGTTCTGGGTAGCATTCTGTAGCCATTTCTCAGGATAGTATTCTGTAACCATTGTTATGGGTAGCATTCTGTAGCCATTTCTCAGGATAGCATTCTGTAGCCATTCTTCTGGTTAACATTCTATAGACATTGTTCTGGGTAACATTCTGTAGCCATTGTTCTGGGTAGCATTCTATAGCCATTGTTCCGGGAAACATTCTGTAGCCATTGCTCGGGATAGCATTTTGTAGCCCTTGTTCTGGGTAACATTCTATAGCCATTGTTCTGGGTAACATTCTATAACCATTGTTCCGGGTAGCATTCTGTAGCCATTGTTCCCGGGAAGTGTTTTGTTGTAATTTTCTCAGAGTCTGTACTGTGAGGAAGTCCTCCTGGGAGCTTTTCACACACATCACCGTTCATATGCATTTCAGTACCGTCCATGGCAGGTCTGAAACATAAACCCAAGAGCCTAGCCTGTTCTTTAGGAGGACAAAGTGGTGACCAGAGCCAACCCTGCTGAAAATGCAGAAAAGGAGCTCTACATTATAGAGATCATAGGCAGACTACCTATTAAAATAAACAAGATTTTCCCTTAAACCTCCCATTTCCTCCTAAGTCAGCTCAGCTAACGTAACTTCTGAATTGTAAACTTGGGAGGAGGTACAACTGCATGGGTGTATAGCACAGCCATTTGCTTCCTGTAGACTAACACTGCTGGCAAGCAATCCGAGTCTTTCATTCATCCCCAGTGAGGTAGCAGTAAAAGAAATGAATACTCAATGAACCGACCAGCAGTTCATCACTCTACAGATGTAGGATAACGTCTCCAAACTTGTAGCTTCATTGTGATGAGGGGAACATACTACCCTGTCCTTTGAGCTGAAGCTTGGCCATGTAACTGGCTTTGGCCAATAGGACTTAATTTTTATTATGTCACACACACACACACACACACACACACACACACACACACACAGAGTTATATAAGAGATTTGAAACTACTTGGGCCAATGAGGCATGAATTGCATGAGGCCATCTGAGGCGTGAGGTGATCCTGGGAGACTTGGCCCACCCTCTCCTAGTCCTGCAACCCCATTGAAAGAGCACACACTGGCTTTTGCAGGAGAACAAGTGTTGCCAATCTGGACTTAACCTAGAACCAGGGTCAGTCACACCAAAACACTATATCCTGGATTGGCCGAGTCCCCACTGTTCTTTAGACCCACAAGAGTCAGAACAAGTGTGTGTGTGTGTTCACTGAGGGGCTGAAACTCTTTAGAATTACTGTGATGGAAGCAAATAGTTTCAGAAGACAGCAGCAAGCCATGCATAATTCAACCTGTAGATGCAGTTGGTCATGTGCGTTTTGTGTTTCTACTCATGAATACAGAGTCCAGAGACCAATGTCAGGTGCCCTTCCTATATCTTATTATGTATTTATTTACCTATTTATATATTCTTTTTCTTTTTTAATTTAAAAATTCATACAATATATTCTAATCACAGTTACTCCTTCCCCAACTCCTCCCAGATTCTTCCCAGCTCTCCACCCACCCAACTCCCCACCCTTTCTTTCTCTTGGGTTTTCTCAGTGAATCTTGAACTTACAACTTCAGCTAGACTGGTTTGCTAGAGTCCCTGAGATCTTCTTTGTATCCACCTTCCCAGTACTGGGATTACACGTATACATTGAATATTCAGTTCCCTGCATGTGTGCTGGAAATCTAAACTCAGGTTTGCCTTATTCTTGCCTTTACTGGTATGTGGGAGGTACTTCTACATAAGCGTTGCTTTTATTGGTTAATGAATAAAGAAACTGTCTTGGCCTGTGATAGGACAGAGCAGAGGTAGGCAGTGAGAACTAAATTGAATGCTGGGAGAAAGAAGGCAGAATCATGGAGACACCATGGATCCACCAGAGGAGAAAGATGCAAGCTGGCAGTCGAAACCTTGCCAGTAAGCCATGAGCCTCGTGGTAAAATATAAAATATATTTTATAGAAATGGCTTAATTTAATATGTAAGAGCTTCCTAGGAATATGCTAGAGCCATTGGCCAAGTGGTGTTTTAAATAATATAGTTTCTGTGTGATTATTTAATGGTTTGAATAGCCAGGAATGATCAAGCAGCCTCCCACATTTTACTGATTGAACAAACAGTCTGCCCAGCCCTGTTTTATCCTTGTGTAGGACAGGAAATGTTGTGTTTGTTAACAATGTTGTACAAAAAAGTTGATTTAAATAAACTTTGAAGACATAAACATGGATCTGCGGTTTGATTCAGCTAAACACAAAGGATTCATTCAGATGAAATAGATACATGAACATATATTCAGAGACTTTGATACAGGAGCATTTTTAGGTTCTGTCTCGTTAGAACTTGTCCTGTTTGGAAGGTGGAGTCCACGGGTGGGTGATATTTCCCACTCCGGACCCAGGAAGAGATAGAGGATATAGCTTTAAATTCTCAAGGGTGGAGTCGTTAGCTGACAAGTGGTCAAACCAAGGTAAATTTTGCTGCACAGAAACTGGGAAAGCCTGTGGAAAGGACTCAAACCATGGGTCTAAGGCCCAGAAGCTAGTGACTGTGGTGTTTCTCCCTGTCTCCTGTCCCTCAAGACCTTACACCAATTTCAAAAGTACCCTGGTTGGGAGAGTTCACTGCGAGCTTATCTATATTCTTGGTTCTTTAACTCTGGAAAGTGTGTAGGACAAGAGCTTTGCACTGGTGATACCTGGAGGTCCATCAAAACCTGGAGGGCCTGGATCCCCTGGGTAGGTTACATTACAAGAAATGGTGTCACCTGGAGAGACAAAGAAGAGTGACATTTAGATAACCAAGCACCATCAAGTGCACTGTGATTCTCTGTGACAACTCATTCAAGATACTTTTCCATATTGGCGTGCATAGGAGGAGAAGCGTCCAGGCATCTCTGGACCACCTTTCCAGATGTCTCCTTAAACCCGGTTCTCAGCTGTCAGAGCTGTTGCAAGCAGTATAAGAAAATCATTGAGTCTAAGAAGTACCTATTGTAATAACCTGGGAATGTGTAAATTATTAATATCCATGATGGTTTGTAGGCCCACAGAGTCTAGTGGGATGGGTAGAAGATTCTGACAGGTTATGAAGAAAGGCCATGGGACTCGGCACTAAGTTTAGCTGACTTTGCTCTTGGTTTGGACACCAGGGAGCTGCACGAAGGAAGAGGTTTGCTGGATCTTGTTTTTCCAGCGAGTCAGCAAGGAAGGTGCTGTCATTCCCACCATAATTGGCCAAGTGACTCAAGCATTGTGCCTCTGAGTCATCATCTACGAAAACCCAAAGTTTCACTTTCATAACAACGCCTCGTGGCTTATTACTTTGTGTGCTTTCAAGTTAAGCGTGACACATAAAGAAAAATGAAATTACGTTTTTCTGAGTCTTCTACCACGAACTTGCTTCTTATCAAATACAAAGTTAGTTGTCTTTATGTAGTGTCACAACGAGAGCCCCAAACAGTATTTTTATCCCCAAACTTCAAAATTAACACTATAACCCAAGGTGTAATACATGTTTCAAAGAAAAAAAAACTTAAGTAAACTTCTTTCTGTCAGCCATAACCCTGAAAGTAATTTTTTGAAATTCCTATAGCTGTCAAATATACTTAAAAATGCCATCATCATTTTCCCTCTCCCTAAAATGTTTGCAAGTATGTTTTCATGGACAGTAATTTTTTAAAATGAAATACCAGTGTTGCTCTTATTCAAATATATCACATTAGCTCAAAAGATTCTAAAAAAGAACTTATGCTTTGAACACATAGGAGTGATTCAAATCCTGGCGGACTTTGTGCATTGACACAAAGAAATGAATAAAAAGCAATTTAGGTGTGATAAACAAATAAATCAGCAAAGAGATTAGCATTTCAGGGATTTGTTCTGAATATTGCTTATGCTATGCATTTAGTTGCCCCCCCCCCAACCTGTGAGATTTCTACAGCACCTGGATAGAATCCATTGAATCAGCCTGCCAGAGAGACGGTAACTTCACCCAGCAGAATTCCCTTTAGTTTTCATGGCTTCAGTTAATATCCTAGCATACGAATATTCAAAATTACCTCTCTGCCCCTTCATGCCATCAAAACCCCTCATGCCTGGACGTCCCGGATCTCCTGGTTGGCCTCTCTCTCCTGGTGGGCCTGGAAATCCCAGTCCTGGAGGTCCCACAGGTCCTGTTGCCCCTCGAGGACCTGGCAGTCCGGGAAGCCCTCTCTCACCTGGGGTCGCATCTTTATGGTCACCCTGGAAATGTTAGGTCACACACCTATTAGTGATCTTCCAAAGTCTGAGAACTCAAAGCAGTCCGTATGTTAAAAAGCCCAGATTTCAAAAGACAGTGCCTTCGAAGCAAATGTGACCCAGAAGAATTAATTGAGAGTTTTTCTAATATTTTATATTCATACTTTGCATATTTACATCCATATATATGATATGGTGTGTATGCTTTGCCTCAGATACAGGAAGTAAATTGTATTGTACCTTAGGTACAGATTAAGAACTTGAATGTACAACTACTAACAGCAGATATAACATAAGAAGGGAAGTGGTAGCTCCGCACACAAATGAAAGACTCAAGAGAGGTTTTTTTTGTGTGTGTGAAACTGACTTCTTACATCCTTATGATATAGTAACCAGATAGACTTCGCCAGTCTCCATGTCTTTGGGTAAGAACACAGCAAAGCTTTATCTCTCCTGCAGACCTGGCTTGCTTGTATGAACATACGAGAAGGTGAAATTCTACAGCAGAACTGTACATACTCTGGGCCCCGGATCCCCTCTTTCTCCGGCACGTCCATCCTGACCGTCTTGTCCACGTGCCCCTGGAAATCCTGGTGGCCCATCATGCCCTCTTCCTCCTTTCTGTCCTGGGAAGAGGAGGCAAAAGACCTGTAAGCGCTCACACATAGGGAGTGAAATAAAAGAGAGGAAGGGACTCAATTCAGGGTAATGGTGTTTCACTCCATGAGGGTTGATCAAACTTCCTTGGTGACTTGGTTGTCCAACGTCAGTCAAACCATTACAAAAACAAAGGGAAGAGTGGCAATTACACAAACTACTGGCTCTCTTTATTTGGGAAATTCTCCTTTTCCTATTTTAGCAAAGAGGTGATCTGCGGAGGGATGTTATACAAACTCACTGACTCAGTGACACTGCATGGGACCTTCTGTCCCTGGCCATAGTGGATGGGAGAGTTGACAGATTATTGCCTTAAACTACACAGTCGTTTGGAAGTTATTCCTCTGCCTACAGCTCACAGAGCATCTCCGATTTCAAGGACCTAGAGCTGCCTCGCGCATGGTATTCCTGGAGCATGTAGTGCAGAGAAAGACAGGCTTGTGAGAGCAAATGGACATAGACCAATGGGAACCCTACATCTAGGTCAATAAATTATATCATTTCCCCAAACTACTTCAAGATAAGCACTGGTTACTTGTCATGTGAATTCCATTGAAGACTAGAGGACATTACGATGCAGTGAGCTGTCATAAGGCTGGTCAAAGGAGATTTTGCTCCAACTCCAAGTTCACCACAATGAAGATTCGAATGTGTCACTAACGGGACATTTATGTTTTTAGATAAGAGGCAAGAGAGTCAGTGCCCGATAGTCATACCATCGTACAAAGGGCCGGAAATGCTCTTAAGGCAACCTCAACAATCCTAAATTACACACAATTGATCTGCAGTCACAGGGGAAATCAATGCAAGTGGATGCCCATAGATCATACACAAAGTGTCAGAGGGCTAAGTGATCAGTCACGCTCACCTTTTATTCTTGATGTGACCATGTCACCCTTTGCCCCTTTGTGGCCAGGGGACCCCAAGGCACCAGGCAATCCCTTGGTTAAAAAAAATTAAGAGCAGTGCATTAGATTAATTCTGGTAGGGAAGAAGTCATTCATATTCTTGTCTACCTAACACTGTCTCCCCCACTCTAAATTTCTTGTCTAAAGATCCTGGCTTGGAAATCTTTGTTTTTTCCCTTTCTTGCCTTTCAGAGTAGTTCTATCGTATACAATCTGAAGTTCCTAGTGCTAAAAATCTCTGGAAAGTCTGTATCTTAGTTAATAGAAATTTATCCACACCTCCTTTATCTTAGCAGTTCATTAGAGTTAAGATATCACAGAGAGAGGGCTGGAGAGAGGGTTCCATGCTTAAGAGCACTTGCTGCTTTTGCAGATGACACGTTTGGCTAGCGGCACCTAAATGATGGCTCTTAAGACCCTGTAGCTCCAGTTCCAGGGGACAAACTTCTTCTGACCTCCACGTGCGGCAGGCATCTATGTGATGCTGTACATACATGCAGGTACTCATAAACATACGCAAAAGTTCAAAATATAAATCTTTTTTAAAACTCTGGGTAAAATAATATGTGGGAATTCTATATAGATATGGAACCTCATAGTAAGTCTCGAATAAAATGTACCCTAAATAAATATGCATCATCAAAAATATGTTGAATGATGTGAGCTTTGATCAGTGAAAACAAGAGCAAAGAGGGGGTTGAGTAACATAAACGCCTCCAAAGAGCTGAAGGTGGGGAAAGAAGCCGGGGAATACTGTGGTGTTGGTGGAACCTGAGAAGAAAGAGGAGGGGCAATAAGGTTCTTTCCCCCATGGTGGAAGCCTGGTCCCCATCTCTAAGCACAGTGTGATGAGTGTAATATAGAAAGAATACATCAGAAGTACAGTCAGCCCAATGGGTCCTGGAACAACTGAATTAACACCTTACCCATAATAACCCTGCGTCAACTAGTAGTCCGCAATGTAGGAAATGTTAGCCCTGAGAAGCAACTCAAGACAAAGCCACAGGAGGATCTTAGAGTCACTAGCAACAAACAAAGCAACAAACAGACAAAGGTGACTATGATAAAATACTGGATTTTACAAAATGAAGTATAGTATGCAAACTGCACGATAATTTCAGCATGTTTGTTCATGATCCACGCGCTAAGGACCCAGTTTCCTGCTGAGGCAGCCTTGCAGGTGTGCTGTGCACATGCAGGAGCGGTGAGGCTGGAGATCTGGATCTTTACTTTCATTTAAGACCAGAATTTCCTTTTCATTAGAGTCTTCTAGGAGAAAGGGAGAATGATTTGGGGACCTCAGAATGGAGCCGCAGGTCATCCCGGCAGAGAGGAACCATGGGAAGTCTCTAGAGCCTCCAGAGGAGGTTTCCTGTGAGTGGTGATTTTTATTCACAGGGATCAGACAGATGGGAGGCTGTGCTTCAGCAAGCGAGCACCGTATTATGATGGACACATGAACTCTGCGCTGTGTCTCAGTGATCTTTGACTGCAAGTTGCTAGTTCACCTAGGTTACCGCAGCGAAGACTTTATTGATTTCAAGGACCCTTTGGACCAGAGTGATTCTGATGCCTTTGTTCCGTGTATGATTCTGTCTGTATGACTTCTCCACAGCCTTCCCTTCTTGGTACTGAACATCACATCGACCCCAATAAAGCCCCTTTTTAGACCTCCAGCCTGACCTCTCCTCTCAGTGCTTGCGTTGGCAGTCACCCCCCAGACAAATTTTAATTTGTTTGTTTAAATATCACCCAAACCTAAAATGTCTCCATCAGTTCTGTGTCGTTTTCCACCAAATGCCTGGTTTCCAGGATCTTCATTCTTGTCCAGAACAACTGCCTTCCTCCCGTAGCTCGGGCCAAAGACCATCACCCCATCTGGACTTACTTCCATTTTCCCTGTATTGCGTGTCTGACCGAATGGCCAGTCCTTGGACTTGCCAGTCAAACTGTGTCTAGGCTGAGTCCCTCCTTCTGTCCAGCACCGTCCCTTCAATCTGCCTCGCTTCCTTCCCACCCCCCACAAATTTTCAGCTACCTTCCACTTAATCTCCAGCATTCTCCCTTACCTAGGGTCTCCTCTCCACAGAGCAACTGATGAGGCATCAAAGATGAATAATAGAGTATTGCCTTCCTTTTTAAGTATTCTCCGAGCTGTACCATGTCCTTCTGGACAAAGGCCTCAGCCTGATCCACCTGCAAAGTCCCAAGCTCTACAAATTCTCCTAAGAGCTAGTCAGTGTGTGTGTGTGTGTGTGTGTGTGTGTGTGTGTGTGTGTGTGTGTG